CAGCTTCTTGCTCATTTTGGTGAGCAAGTGCGTCACCGCGTCACCAACCGGATCAGACGGACCGAACGTAGCCTGAAGCTCTGATAGGAAGAGCTCCAAATTACCGTCCCAGTACAGAACGGAGTCCGGATTGTCGCTGAACAGCTGGGGTTCGAACCACGACAAGGCATTACCTTGAAGGTAAGAGAGGATGTAGACAATCTTCTCCGAGTCCGTAGTGAACTCAGAGGGACGTTCAGCAAAATGCAAATAGCATTGAGTGAGGAAAGGACGAAGCTTTAAAGGTTCAGAGCCTTTGAAAGGCTCTGGGTTACGGAGATTGGACTTTCCGTTTCGAGACATTTTAAGGGAGAATTGTTGAGCCATGGCCTGATTTTGCGACATAGTGTTGATCGCAGCAGCCAGGGCAGCCAGAACAGAAACGATGCTAGCTGCCATTCTCTCTCCATCAGTAGGTCCCCTAGGTGCCGGAGGGGCACCCGGACCACCAGGCGGATTACCTCCCGGAGGACCTCCGCCTCCAGGACCACCACTGCCAGGACCACCAGGTTTGCCGGGTCTGCCGGGGCCACCTCCTGGGCCACCGCCACCACCCGGACTGTCAGGTCCGTCAGAACCATCTGGACCTCCAGGGCAACCAGGACCTTCACCAAGCGGGCTGTTACGACCGCTAGGCAAACCAGGGCCATTTCCACCTGGCCCACCAGGATTAGTAGGGCCAGAACCAGTACCATGTTGCTCCTCTGTTTCAACAGGAGGAGGAATGGTTTCACCTTGTTGCTCTACCTCCTCATCGATTTGGGTAAACCGGTTGTGATCTGGTATTTCCTGAGCCAGTTCAGCCGGAAGGGTTCCACGCAAGCCAGAGACATCAGCATTGAACTGCCGAATAGGATTGTTGACTGGGAGAGGCGGAACAGGTGGATCCATATAAGTCGAGGGGTGAGGAGCGGAGCATCGTCCAAAGTTAGGTTCTAAGGACTGACGTGCTGAAGGGCGCAAAGTGATATACGAAGCGCCTTGAGGCAACGGAGAGGGCAAAATTGGTTGCTGAATAGGAGCATGGAAAGCAGGAGGGGTGTTGTAAAGATTCCCAGGGGGAAATAAAGAAAACAGAGTAGAAGAACGTCGATCAGCTTGGACTCGTAGATTTAGGCCCTTGTAGAAGTTAACCAGAGGAGCCGGAGGAGACGACTGTTGAGGCCATCCCGGACGAGTCGGAAACCGACGAGGTTTGTTGGGGGGTGAGACATGTTGTTGGGAATTGTCATGAGACATGAGGAAAAAACAGAGCCAGACAGATGAGCTTGATTATACTGTCAAGTGCCGTGCAGAACAGAGGGGGGTTTCTACTATAGCTAACAAGCCAGTAGCTGCCTGACACGAATGAACACAAGACCAACCGGACCGGAGCGGAGTCGGAGCGGACAAGGTCCGCGAGCGGAGGGAAGTCCGGTTGAAGGACAAGAGAAGAGAGGAGAGTAGTCGGAGTTGTTCCACACAGAGGAGGAGTGCAAGTAACGTTTATAATCAAGCTAAAGTACCGTAGCTACTTTAGCTGCTTAAATACTACAAGTAAGTAGAAAGGGAAGACCATAAGTAAGTACAAGGTACGGAGTGCATATGGAAAGTAACAAGCATAAGGACATATGGAGGTATAAGTAACAAGGCGAAAGACATACAGAGTACAAGGTCGCCGGAGCGACCGGATTGGATCGGGCTGGAGCCCGGCGGACTGTGACCGGCCCGCGGACCGCGGCTCTTGACAGATGCACGGATATGACACCCAGGTAAACCGCGACACATCGCCTCAGCAACTTTCGACTCGCTGCCCTTCCGTGTTATGCATTGGGATGCTGCATTCAAAGGGGGGGTGATGTCAGGGGAACCCCTGCTTCCTTCGGACTATCCAAGCGCATCCGAGATGCATCCAACCAGCGCCCCCTCGGACGCTCCGACCCACCCTGTCCTTCGTTCTCAGCCTCCTTCGCCCGCACAATCACCGATCCGTCAAGACCCTCCTAACAGTCACCTTGGGACAGAGCCTGCAACACTGCTCAGGCCTTCTATGCTCTATGTTGGCAGTTACGGATAACCAGTATATAGTTGGCACCCTAGCAGGTGGACCCTTAGAGTTTCTTCTCTTTGGATCCTCCCCTGCTAGGCTTTCGTCGGAGTCTCCAGGGTTGCCCTTGCATATTGACTGTATTCATATCATCTGATGCATGATTTTTGATTCCAATGTAATATTGTAAATTTTAAAACAGCCCTCCAAAATCATCTCCTCTGACCTTCAGTGAGCCAGGCCAGAGTCAGACTTGGACTGGGTTGCATGGTGAGGCCTTTGCAGGAGTATTATGTCTTCGAGTTACCTTCTCAGGCTGAATTGGTCTGAGACACCAAGTTGCAGCTATATCCAAGTCTGTACATGTCCATATACAGCATATGAAATACTAGTCTTTGATTGCCGAACCGAAGTTTCGGCTCTCTATGTGAAGATGAAAACCAGCAACCCCAAATTGGGAGTGGCAGTGTTTTTGATTATCCTTTTTGGGACGCAGTCACATGATGTTGCCATACCAATCAATTTGGACTGTTACCCTTTTCTCTCTGCTCCCTCTGAATATATACCACCAAACCAGGAGAAGGACCCAGGCCAAAGGCCGGATCAGGAGTGGTCATGGTGGCCCCACTCAGCACAACTCTGGATTATAGCAGGAGACAGACCACCCCAAAGCCATGTGAGGGGAAGGTGGGTGGGTTGAAATGCAGCAGCCGCAGAGTGGAAAAGCAAGACACGTCAAATTTGGTATCAAAGACACAAAAGTCACAATGATAGAACTCAGAGGTCATAATGGTATAATAAACAGTATTTTGCCCACTTTACACATGTTGCTCACCATCTTATCTATCGCTAGCTATGGCTTGTCCTTACCATAGCTAGCTGGCAATTGCTTAGTGTCACTGACTACTATTGGCGGGATATCCATGATTTGTTCCAAATTCATAACAACTGCTTTGCCCCAACTATAGGTTAACAAAGCTACAACTGTCACGGATAAGACCCGGCCCGTCCACTCCGGCGCTGGTGTTGGGCCATCGCGGCCCAAAACACACAGCATGTGATGACGGGGAACAGGCGCCCCAGTAGGAGGAACGCACACGTGGGAAGCACGTGACCGAGAACGATGCGTCGAGCCGTTGCCAAGCCCAACTCAACACCAGGGGACTGGGGAGGAGTGCTAGGAGGTTAGGAGTAGCGCCTGGCCCGCAAGGGATGTACGATCGTCCCCTCTGTGGCCAGGAATAGGGGCGAGGAGGAGCAGAAGAGGCTAGGGTGTCCAATCACCCCTTTGCAGGCTCGGATATATAAAACACGTCACGTTACACGTGATAGTGTACCATGTACTCTATCACTTAGATCGTCTGAAGAACTACTTCTCTCTGTGCAAGGAGGAATCACCAACTCATCGGGCCCAACACGACCTGATTCGAACCTTCGACCACCAACCACGCCAAGGGACCAAGTTAATGGGCCCTCTTGGTGCCGATCTACCCTGCTCGCTCTGCTTGCAGGCCCGATGATCCGTCTGTTCTGTTCCGGGCATGCATTCTTAGGAGAATCCTTGCACAGCCCGACCCGAAGTCTGACAACAACTATGGATTAACAAAGCACATGCCAACTAAGTGCACATTAGAGTCTCAGACCACTGATACCACCCTTTGACCACACTATGCAACAGGGTGCATGCTCAGCCTCTGGAGCCTTTAGGCAACAACAACCAACTGTCCATGCCTCTAATAATAAGTACCTGGGGCCAGGTATGCAGGTTTTGCATAAACTTGTAACTTCTACACAAAACTAGTTTGATGGACTGCTCAGACACTAATGCACATTTTACAAATACCTTTTCATAAGACCATCTAAAGTGTTGAGGACAAATAAGTAGTCTTCAAAGGGTAATTTTGGTTGCAGTTAAGTCTGAGTAGAGCATGTATGACCAAAATATGTCATCACTGCTGACAGCCTATGAGGCAGTGTCTATGACGTAGACTGATATTGAGCAAATTCGTTCAGCCGCTGTCTACGTCATTAATTGGACCTCTTCTCACAGACTCAGAAATTGTATTCCTGGTGCTCCAAAACATTGTTTTTACAACACCATGGTAATTCTATCCTATCCTATCCTATCCACCACCTAGACGATGGAGATTAGCTCATGCAATTTGCAGTTTTTTATATGTACCAGGGTTAGGCTATGTAGAAACAGGCTGGCTGGATGGAAGAGGGAACGAAGAAGCACTAGATTATATAACTACGATATAACAAATATAAACTGGAAGTCCAGACAGAGAGGGGTAGGCGAGTGTGTGGATCTGCTCTCAACAGGCTACATCTTCTGGTGGGAACTGCAGTCTCTTGCCATATTGACCTGCCATCTTGACACTCACTAATCCTGGTGCAGCCAGTTGATCTGTTGGTAATATATAAAAATGAAATATCTATATGTCCTTGTAGTCTTTGAGGAAATTTCAAGTCTGAGAACAGCAAGAAAGTATGACATATGACCAGCAAGGGGTCACGGTTCGGCTCTCTGCCGCTTGCGGCCTTATCCCCTCTCATATATGTATTTTGCATAAAGAGTTTAGATGAAGAAAAGCTGGCTGCCATTGGAACCATTGGGTCCACCATGTGGTCTGCCATATGGGCTGTCAATCAGACTCCCATCTCCCAGCCGCCGTTGCCATTGCGCCTAGTAGAAGAACCAAATAGATTTTTAACATTGAGCCTATTTGCAGTGCCAGATTTCTAGCTCAGGTCTGTGAACCAATTGTCTCTAACCTTAGTCCTTATTGCCATGCAATCTATCTATTTGTTGATTACTATTGTAATAAAATGTCCAGGTCCACGATGATGAATATAATGTGTAGCAGCATGCAGTAGCGAAAGAGTCCATGGTAGAAGGAATGAAAAAGTGAAGATACATCAGAAGCACCGATCAAGCATGACTGAGCAGGATGCGGTCGATCGACGCGTTGATTGTGGCCTTTCGTACCGACAAGTCTTGTCCAAAATGAGCTTCTAAGCGCCTTCGAATCTCGCGCTTTGTGATCGTGTTCAGGTCGGCCGTGCTAAGAATCTGTTGGACTGCACGTTCCAATTCCGCTTCACTTGGAGTGTTGGCAGGCAAATCTAAATCGCCAGGGCTGCTTGTTTGCGTGAAGGGGACATCGAGATAGTTGGTCATGGGTCGAGATTCGGCGAGGGGGTTAAACATCGACTGAGGCGTGTTACGACCAGACTGATACCCTGGCGGTGGGTAATGCACTGGTGCATATCCGCCAATTTGCGATGGCTCATATGTCGTTTCGCGGCCGTATATCGATGCTGTGCGCGACTCAGCGTAGGCGTCATTCTTCATACGCGGTGGTGGAACCCATGAACCAATGCTGTGATTGGATTCCTTGTCCCACAACTCGTTTTCCTGTGCACAACAATCAGAAGTTGGAAGAGCGCTTGATAGAGACATACGTAGTCGTTCCATGACTTGAGTGGAATGACACGAGGATCGAATTTGCCTTCATCCTGACTTGAATTAGTTGAGGATTGAAATATTTCCACATGGACATACGTGAACAATCATTTTCTTCCCAGACTCTCCTAACACGACACGTGTCTGGCCCCAAGAGAAGTCGTCCATTCTCCAAAAAGAGTAGAGCGGAAGGAGAAGAGAGAAGACAGGAATTGCCAGGATGTAGAAGAACATCCACCCTATCATATCCCATTTTCGTCGAAGGATGAAGACAGCGGCTTGAATGGCATATATCGCAATAATCATGACCAGAGATATGGTTTGAATTTGCTCGTGCTCAGCGACGACCAAATAAACAAGGTAGGCAATCTTCAAGGAAAATGTAAGAGTGTGAGATGGTGACTGGCGTGTGTCTACTTACATATGCGACTGTGACTGGTTGGGTCAAGGTTGAAACCAAATCTATCATCACAATGAAACGCATTGAGAAACAGCAGAATCCGCAGAGCTGCTCAAGGAATACAAGCTCCCCCAGGTTGTGCACTGTCGAATTGATCCAACGCCGACGCTGTGATAGAAGGATCTTCCAGTCATCTGGCGCAACCGTGTAGGCGTGTGCATCCCGGACAAATTGTGTCTTGAATGTAGGGAAGTGTTTCAAAAGGAGTGTTGTAAGGTAACGATCTTCTCCAAGGTGAAGCAAATTTTTCATATGGAGCGTGTCGACACGATTTTCAGAGTAGTCTTGAATAAGTTGATTTGAGATGAGAAGAGGCTTGTGGGTGTCTGGGGTTCGAAGGCGAAACAAGGTAAAACATCCAGGAAGACAGGTAACGGAGCCAAACAGAGATTCGAAGGCTTTGGCCATGTTATGCGAAATAAAGTATTCGTAGACCTGATGTCACTGAGCGTCCCTCCGCAAGATAGGGAAGCAACAAACCTGCATCATTGTTATGATTGACTGCTTTGCGTTAGCCAGCTGCGTTTCTCCACACACGCCAAGTAGCTTCTTATCGTGGATCATCCTAAATGTGATTAGAATCGGTTAGACAACTATAGGCACGGCACCAACGAAGAAATAAGGCGATTGACGGAAAACTGATCCACGGTCGTGTCAGCATCAATGGTGAACAGGTATTCGTAGAACGTTGGATTGACACCAATCACATTCTTGATTTGATGATACATCTCTAGTTCGAGAGGGTTCATTGGGGAATTGAAATGAACCTTGGCTCCGTTATGACACTAGAGCGAGCAGATAAAATCAATGACAGACCTTGTTCAAAAAATGCATGACCAGCATCTGAGAGTCACGTTTACCACGATTGCCGGGTCGCGATCGTTCCGTCGGCTTGCCCACTTTCACAACAACAAGGTATGGAACGACGTGCCCTTTGCACTCATAGAGACCTGAGTAAACCTTGCCCATATTATGCTGCTTTGCACCCTCGCCGAGGGAGAGGAAGCTAAGAGGTTCAGGATCGAGGTTGGGGTCAGCACCAAGGATGTCGAGGACAATACGTGGGGTGGGCCTATCGTTGCCGGATCCGACAATCATGCCGTCACAGATAACGACGAGAAGTTTGCGTTTGTCGTCGTACTTGAGTTGTGCAAGCGAATCAATCGTCTTCCTAAGAGAAGCATCTCCTTCGGTGTAGCACGGAACCTGACAAATGACGAATTTGTCGTGATCCTCTGGTGCCCTTACACCTGCGAGACTGATGGAAGCAAGGAACTTGAACCCTATGACGGAAACCATAATAATGGAGATGATAAGGAGGAGGTATGTCGAGAAAATGCATTTGGCGGATTGTCGCGCATCGACCCTGCCGATGGCAAACAAGTTACGCAGGCAGACTTTCTGTCGAGCAAGTTGTTCTGGTTTTAAGGCACCGTTGTTGACAAGGTTGTTTATGTCCTTGGTGACATCTCCACCAGCATTGAGTCTGAAGATATCGACGACCTTATCCGACATGAAGTTGGTGTCGGCGGAAGGAGAATTTTGGCCTGGGGGAGCTCGTAACCCTCTGGGATTCTGGACATAACCAGTTAGGTCATAAACAATGCCATCGTATACACCGATCGAGCTGCCGTTGTTGGCCTTGGTTCGGATCTCTTTCGGAGTTAAACCAATCCATCCGCGACGAGCCATCCAACGCATTTGTACCATAGATTCGAAGTACCAGTCGGGACGTGAATCATTTGTGAAAAACCGAAAGTCGTGGTATTGGGCATTTTGATCTGTGTTGTTTGTCGTCGAGAACACCACATAAGGGCTGACGCCGCCGTCCACCCCGTTACATAATGCACTAACCTGCGAAATAATAAGGTCTTGAAAAAAAACGGACAGAGACGAACCTGAACGGGGAAGATATTGTCTGCGCTGGTTCCGCCATACGTCTTGAGAATGGTCCTGGCCGGCACCACACTAACAGTCCGGGTATGAAGCGAAGTGATAGTGTTAAGATCGAAAACCTCTCCGCGCACCGAAGTATACACATTATTCGCGTTAAGGGTGTAGCTGTGTGAAGCTAGTTCCGATTGACTGAATACGTGTTCCGTTGGGCAGATTAGGCGGCCGAGATAGACGATGACGAAAGCAGTGCATAAGCACATAAACCAAATGAGGAGATTGAGGGCAAGCTTCTCGCGCCATGCTTGTCTCACATCCATACGTTTCATGCGACCCAGATATGTGAGGCAGGGATTGGGTATCCACCACGTTAAGATCCAGCAGAGAGTGACCCAACGACGCCTCGCACTTGACTCTTTGAGAATTTCCGTCGTCTCTCCTTCTTGTATTTCCCCCGCGAGGGCGTCCTTATCGAGAAGCGGCGCCCCCTTCCCATCAGCTGCGCCAAACATATTCCTGGAAGGGGCATAGCTTTCGCTACCGAAGTTGGACATGGATTCCGCGTCGACATGGGATGTGAATCGGCTCCGCGCATCAAAGTCCGAATCAGGACCTCGAAGGGATTTTTGTTCGTCGTATCCATCTTCGTCTCTCTCGTAGAGATCCGCTCGCTGGAAAGGTGACGCGTTCGCAACCAGAGGAAGTGCCTGATTTGAAGTGTTATCCCCATAACCGTCCCAGGGACTTGTATCCGCATCCATAGGCGAGGAAGGGTACGGCGCGTATGGATCAGAAGAAACACCGCGAGGATCTAGACCCCCTTCGATTTCAGCCTCTCGAATGCGATTCCGTTTCTGCTCTTCAACGTCCCGTGATCGAAGGTAATCCTCCAACTTGTGGAAGGAGATTTGTGTGAGGTATACCTACAGAAAGATGTTAAGCAGCTTAGCTTCGATAATGAGCTCACCTTGTGCATTCCCAACACAATGTCCCTCTCATCTAAACCGAACGCGGTTCTAGATTGTTCGACCCGTTCCCTCGCCGACCCTTCGACAACGCCCACTGCTTCCAATGCAATGGCATAACGCTCAGAAAACTCCTCGATCAACATCCCAACCTCCCACACCGTTTTGTTGCGCTGGGCAATTTGGGTGAGGCCGGCACTTCGAACTTGACCCTTGACACTACGACCTTCGAGTTGATTGGGTAGCTGGGAGTCATTAGGATTGATGCAGAAGACGTGCCAAGATTGTGTTTCCTCGAGAGTCGCAAAGACGAGGTCTAGCGAAGCACGGAAATCGCCGGCGATGGCGGAAGAGCTGGGATCTGCGACTGTGTCTTCCTCCTCCGGAATATCAGGCGCGCCAGGCGACGTAGCCACACCAACCCTGCGAACAGTATTCTTCCGTCTAGTTGAAGGAGCGCGCATTGGCTTGACGCTTTGTTGCGCCGCCACGATAGTGTCTTCATTGCGAGGATGCGCTTGAAGATTGATCGTCTTGGAATTGAACAGGCCTTTGACGAAGGGGTTCATCGTGCCACGTAAAAGGCTGACGAAATCGGGGTTCATTCCTTCGGTGTTACGTTCCAAGAAGTTTTCGGCGCTATACGTGACTGGCCCATTGAAGTGATTAATCGTAAATGTAGGGAAACCCGAGCGATCGAGACTACCACCAGATTTGAAAGACGAGTGGTTGCCCCAGCGCTTTTGGAAAGCCTCGACCATTGTGTGATTAGTCTTTTTGGGTGCTCTACGTGCCTGATCATCGATTATGTGAATAAGACCACCGGGTTTATTCTGCAGTAGTCGGATGCACTCAGCATTGTCAAAGTATGGGATACTAGCAGGGATCCATCGAGGAATCAGGCCTTCAGCGGTGTATTCTGCAACATGAGCTTCGAAGAGTCGGTGCTGAGTCCAGTTCTGTACTCTCTCATTCGCAAAATTGATGCAAAACTGGTCGAGAGAGTTGGGACGGGAAGACATGTTTTGGGGACCAGGGATGTCGAAGAGACCCACGAAAGTCACGTAGTCCTCGCGGCACAAACGTTGATTAATGTGTTCGTTGAGCCATGAAAACAGAAGAGAGTAAAGGCTTTTGGCAAGATCATCTCGATTGTCTGCAGCACCGTCAGGATCGAGGAAGACTGTGCACAACTCTTTTTTGACAAGTTTGGTCTTCAGAGACAGTGACGTCTCGAGCTCGTGAGCGTGGATACCAAAGAAGTCAGCAACGATCTCGCAGACATCCGTGTTCCGCACGACGGCAGCATCCTCGTTTCGATGACGGTCAATGGTAAACTCCAGGTTGCCAAGGTGGAGGATGGCCGCGACGAGTTGGCAAGTTTGGGCTACATGCCGCTTCGAGAAGCCGATGGTTTTGAGGGCCATCTTGAGTTGTTCAAACCGCAATGCATCGTCATTGGGTCGGGCGTTGGGAGAAGCAGCTCCACGATGCTGACCAAGATAACGATACGTGGTTTTGTCGAAAAGGTGCAGATGCTGTCGCTCTTCCGGAGTTGCCCCAGCAACAAGGTAGTAGAAGATATGGAAGTTTCGTTCTCCATTTGGGGCCCCCGCAACCCGATTACGTTCGAGAAGGTAGTCGAGGGTTTTGACACCATGAAGGCGGCCACGGTCACTGAACTGGAGCTCGGTGTATTTTCCGACGCGAGAGGCGTTAGGATTGAATAGCGTTCGAGCATGAGCGAAAGCCTCGAGTACAAATTCAGCGGCAGGCACCTGCGTTGCAAGCTTGGCACCCTTCTTGCCAGGATTGCTAACACTGAGCTCGAGGATTGTCTTGATAGCTAGTCGGTAGTTCTCTGACTTGCCGCTACCCGTCTCTCCACTGCGAAAAAAAATTGGTCAAGGAAACTTTGCAGCTGATACTAAAAGAACCTGAAAATTATTGATTGGTCCTGGGCAGTGCGACGCATGTGGTAGTATGCGTTGTTGGCAAGCTGAAATATATGAGGGGGCAGTGGTTGCTTGTCTTCGCTGGTGTCGCGGTATTCGGCGGCATACTTGTGCAGAATGGAGTCCCCACTGGATGGCACGTATTTGTGGGGGTTGAGAGCAACGAGGCCGGACGAGCCAATTCGGGTGTATATCGTGTCAGAGAGGAATCGTTCCCGAAGGCATGTAACGAGAGCGTCGTCGGAGACATTAGCCAGAGCAGCGAGGTCATTGGCTGCCTCCATCTGCTGGTGAAGTGTCGAGTGTCGCTGCATCTCGACACCCTGACGCTTTGTTCAGGAGAGGAGAAGGTGGCGAGGGCTGGGGTCACCGAGTTGGGTGGTGGGTAATGACGGAGACGGTCAACGTGAGTGTAAGGTGGCAGTGCACCTCGTGAAAGAACGTCATCGGTCTGGAACCTGATAATATGTATGTACAGTCTTTTATACTGACAGTGATTATAAGACGTTAAGTTACCTTGCGCTAAGCTAGGTCCTGGAGACTGGAAATTCGTCACGTAATCTGACAAAAACAAACATGTACAAACAACTGACGTCATATGTGATATGTGATGTACTTTCTTTGTCGGCCCGTCGGAACGCTTGCCTTCTTTTACTTACAGTACCGAGTCACTTGTGCGGGCCCACTGACCATCTTTCAAAAGGTGATGACCTTCTTGTATCATGCTTGCTGATACCAATGAAACCAGCTCTGTAGTCAGGCTGAGAAAAATTTCTAAGGCACCTTACTAAGTAGTATGGATAAGGACTTCATGGCGGGGTACATTGCTCTCAAAAACAGCATCCTTGCGATGATGCAGCGACATCTCGAAGATGCCGTGGCTCTCATCTTTGACTACCATACCCAAAGCCTATCATTTGCGATGAGCCAAGTTCACAGTGCACTCTTGCTGGCTTGTTCTCCCCGTATTCAACCGGACAACAAGACATCACGAAACAACTTCCTTTCTCTAATGGGTTCGTAGTGCTAGATGTCGTTAAAATTGCAGGCCAGGGTGCAGACTATAATCATCTAGTTCCTAGACTTTGCCATCTCAGAATGGACGCAGAATGGTGGGTGTGTTAGATGCTGCAAAGGTCGCACTGGCACGAGCATTTCATTAGTTACCCATGTATATCTCAGTATTCTACATATGAGCGCTGAATGAATTGCGTGTTCAAAATTAAATGTCAATTAGTACTTCAAATGCAGGCCACGCAAGGTCCATGTCTCCCGCGTCACGCGCGCGAGACCCCTTGTACTTATAGTTTCCTTGAACTGGGTTTTCAGTCAAGTGAGAAGCTGTATTCCCTAACAGTCATCGCAAATGTCGATGATTAAACGACTGTATCACTGGTGACTGTGCCGCTTCTGTTCTCATTCAAACTACATAGTACTAGTAGCGGTGCTTTCGTTTCAGCATTCAAGCTTCATAGTGGTCATACTACTTCCAAGGCCGCCGCATCACCGGTCCCTCGATTGCCGGTCCTTGCTCGATCCTTGCTCTGAATCTTCATCTTCTGACGACCTCTACAAAGTCTTCCTCGACGCCTGACATAGACAATGGCTGCAACGCCGAAACGTCGTCTCGTCCGTGTGGCCGATGAACTCGCAGCTCCACCAGACGTTCTTGGAACACTCACTCTGGGAGAAATAGTTTTTGACGTCCCAGTGGCCCAAACTCCCTCTCGTCTCCCTCATCTGAAAGAGCAGGATACTTTGGACATCAAGGACCCCGTGAATTTAGACAATCTCCATTTCATGCTCCAGAAATATCTCCTTGGACAAGACGTATTTCTCGTATCTCAGCCTGGCCCGTATGCGCGTCGTTTGGTGTTAACATTCGCGAGGTGGGTTTCAGGAAACGTCAATCTTTCATTTGAATTGACCAATTCTAGCTTGATCAACTCAGAATACGAATACATTGCGTTGCATCGGGATGTAGGAGAAACAGAGCTCAAACAAGTACGCATTTTTCGGCTGCTAGAGAGAGGGTTCTAAGATGTGGCTACCAAGGGTCGAGAGATCCGCGAAGGCGGGAATCTAGTCTATGTCGACAGCCCCGCTGTCCAAGCGGTGAAGAACGGTCGTCTCTTGATATTGGAAGGGATTGAAAAGGCGGAACGTGGTATCATGCCAGTGTTAAACAATCTACTTGAGAATCGCGAAATGTGAGCCTGCTCATTTTTTCCACCTTTCGTGTTGAGATGCTTTGTAGGAATCTGGACGATGGGACACATATAATACATCCTCATCGTTACTCCCAACTGGACACTTCAACGGACGACGATGGAAAGCTATTTATTCCAGCGCATAAAAACTTTCGCATCATCGCCATCGCTGCCCCGGTTCCCCCCTTTCCAGGACATCCATTGGACCCTCCCTTTCGCAGTAGATTCCAAGCTCGCTTTGTCGATCCCGTGGGTTCGATGTTGACACTCTGCCCACGAAACGAGGGGGAACCGGACTTTGTTGAGACGCGACTCAGGGAGCTTATAGTGTCAACGCAATATGCTTCCGAATCTCGCGATGCTCTGTCCCTTGCCTCACGCAGCGTCCTGTTACCGTTTCCGCAAACGTCACTTCAGAAATTACGTGGACTTGTTAAGGCTTTCCCACCACCACATCCAATTTCGTCTTCACAGCTGACAACGCTTCTCGTTACCATTCACCCTTCTCTAGTCCTCGCACCCTTACAAGCGTGGGCCATACTCAGTCGGCAGGCTCAAGAAGCTGGTCTCCCTCCTCTGGTTAGTCCCAACGTTTCGGACGGGACTGGTCTATTGGGATATAATTTAGCTACAATCACTCGCATCTCCCCTCATGCTGCTCTGGCAACTTTCTCTCATGCCACTCTCGATAACCAGACACTCCTCGTCGCTACGGGTCCTGCTGAGCTTCTTCCATTCCCGCCCCCCACAAAGTTGCCGTTCATTACGTCCAGCCGATTCACGGGGCTCCTTACAAGCCTTGTTCAGGCCCACGCCCTTGGCTGGAATATCTCTCTCATCCCTCCGGTTATGCCTGCCACCGCCAGCTCCAGTACAAGCACGGTTGCTCGCGTGTTTGGGGAAATATTGGGCTACGCACGTGATGCTGAAGTCCTCCATATGTACAAGGAGCTCAGCGGACGTGAATTATACATGCGACGACGCATTCTAGATGGCGGTGCAACGACCTGGGAACCTAGGTCTGTGTTCATAGCCATTGTTATCATCTTATCAAGCGACGATTAGCTCTATAATAACGTCAACATGGGCTGGGAATCTCGTCCACCTCTCGGGTCTTGATGCTATTGGGCCCACCGCGGGATCTTTGGCTCGCTTAGCTCAAGATAAGGAGGCCGATCTATGGGCCGGAAAACGAATTTTGGCTGAAGCATCGCCAGAAGAGGTCAATCTTGGTTCTCGCTACCAGTTGAGCTAACCATGACCTTCATATAGCTCATGGTACCGGACCTTTCGATCGCTCACCCGTCTTTTCGCATGATTGCTACAGCATCTAAATCTTTGCCTCTGAAGGACTGGCTGTCGATCGAACATGCCAATATGTTTTTCACCATATATTTACAGCCTATGGAGCATTCTGAGGAACGAGATATACTTCTGGCTACTGGTTGCGAGGCGCAGGTGGTTGTCCGGCTCTTGAGTTTTGCCGAGCGATATCGAGCCAGCATCTCTGAAGATACAATTCAGAAGAGACGTAAACTGGGGACACGCTCACTAGTGCGCGTTGCTCGGACCTTGGCTTTGGAAGGATCTGCGGTCGACGGTGAAGGCGTCGGAGATCTTCGAACGAGCCTCAATCAAACGCTGCTTTCCGAGTTCCTGCCTTTCATGGAGCGCATGAACATCGATTCTATATTTGACGGGTTGGGAATTGAACGACTTGCCCCAGCCGTGAGTGTGTTTGCCTTCTCTTAGAGTCCATACAATTATCGTTTTCCCCAGTTTCATCCTAGTCCAGTTGTTTCGGACGATAAACTCATTTTCCCCGCTTCAAGCACTAGTGGTGGTGCAAGCTCACCGATCGCTATCCCGCTGTTTAATGTCGCTGATGATCCACATGGCGTCAAATCCCGCGTTCCCTATATGGACCATTTCTACGACAATTCCCTCCAAACTGAACTAATGCGAGACATTGCTGTGGACCTGGAATTACTAGGTGAACACGTTATCCTCCTGGGGAACCAAGGTGTAGGAAAGAACAAAATTGTCGATCGGTATGCATCTCCATCCATCTTCAAATTGTTCTAAGACCAAGTAGACTGTGCCAGGTATCACTCATAGATTATGACACTGGATTGTGCTAACCTGCGACAAGTTACTTGGTAGGCCGCGAGAATACGTCCAGCTCCATCGTGACACCACCGTCAATCAACTCATGTTCTCTACCACACTTGAGAAAGGTGTTATCCAGTATGATAACTCCCCGCTTCTCCGGGCTATTTTGCATGGCCGCCTCATCATTATCGACGAGGCTGATAAAGCCCCAGAACATGTCGTGGCTATCTTCCGCAGTCTTGCCGGCCATGGCGAGCTTACTCTTTCGAATGGCTGCCGAGTTAGAAGAGTCAGAGTTGATGCAAGTGATATTGTTGTTCATCCAAATTTCCGGCTGGTCCTATTAGCCAATCGACCAGGCTATCGTATGTTCCCTCGCTTTCATCGCAGGACCCGCCTGATCACTCTTGCTCTCCAGCGTTTCTAGGAAACCACTTCTTGGAGGTCTTGGGGGAAACCTTCAGCACCCATGCCATTTCGAATCCAGATCAAGCATCGGAACGCCATTTGCTGGCGCAGCTCGCGCCAGGGATAGAACACGATCTCATCGTCCGTCTGGTAGGTGCATTCCAAGACCTTCGACAAGGCTACGAGAGCGGAACCCTGAACTACCCGTATTCCCTTCGAGGTCTGTTCTCCAATTCTGCTGGATGGTGCTCAATTTCAGGTAGAATTAATAAATCTTGTGAAGCATATACAAGCTTTTCCTAGAGACTCTTTGGGTGATGCCCTTCGGAATATCTTCGATTTTGATGTCTACAAGCCGGAAGCTATTGATGAACTGGGCAAAATTTTGGAGCGACATGGGTATGTTCAGTTGAAAGTCCCCCTTCGCTGCCGTTTTTGAATGGTTTTTTCTCAGTTTGAGTGTAGCGCATATAGGACTAGACGCTGCTCGTGAAGCAATCAACAAGAAGATCCAAGATGTCGGCTTTGAACCCAAACAGAGAGAACTCACGGAGCCAAAGGAGGGCGAACATGATGATAAAGAACATTCTGGTGGAAATAGATGGGCGGGAGGAGTACACTCATGTGTTTCTTTTGGTGTCAACTGATTTACAACCTAGACTGGGGGGAGGGATACCGCCGGGCTGGGCGGCCGAGGGGGATACAAGCGGCTATACAAGGGGGGTAATATTAAACAAGTGGGTCACGATTTCCATGCCTCCCACTCGATTGTGACTGGTCGCCATTACTAGGTATCGGACGAGCTCAAGGGGCAAATTCCCTCCCATATTCGCGACAAGGCTCGTGCGATGGCCGCCCAAGAATTAAAGCGCAGATTAGAGGAGCTCGATATGAGCGAAGGAGATGCGGCAGGGTATGGACAGCTTCTTGCGGCAACTTCAGCACATATGGTGTCGTTGTTTGACCTTCTTGAACGCAGGTGAAAAGTACGCTTTTTACTCTCCTTGCTGATGTCTCTCCAGATCTCGCGGCCAAAGAGGAGGAACGCGTATGGATCAAACGTCAAATCGACGGTGAATTGGACGACAGTCGTCTTACAGAAGGACTTACTGGAGAAACCACCGTCTACAAGAGGAGAAGCATGGAGAAACCTGAACTTGGTCGCCCTCAAATGAAGTATTTCTTCCGCCTCCTTCACATAACATGGGATAATTCCTTTTCAGACCGAAACGAATTCGATTCCTCTTCGACCTGAGCGCTTCCATGTGAGTTTTTTTTGTCACATGTTAATATTCTGTTTGACTATCAAGTCAGGTATCGCTTTCAGTATGATGGTCGCTTGCAACGGAGTATAGAAACGGGTGTGTGCTCTAGAAGATGTTGCTGTTCAGAACTGATATGAGCTAGCGGTCATGCTTATGGAAACATTCGATAGACTGTCCCACAAGAACAAATATGTTTGGGATGTAAGTCCATCCTCCTACGCTTTCGTCCCATCGTCTGATTGAGTTTACAGATGTTTGCCCATGTGAGTTGTCAGCTTGAAGGTTATCTCAGCTACACCTTTTTAGTCGGGCGATGGGCCGGACATCCAACTTGTCGATCCCCTCAAGCCACCGAAAGAGATGAAAGACCGATGGAAGATCGTTGAGAAGATGTCCATGATTCCTCAGTATGCGTTTGCGGGAGACTATACTGGTATGTCCTGACACAATGATATCTATCGATTCAATAACTTTATTCCAGTTGAAGCAATAGAGAAAAGCGTCAAAGAAGTTGGCTCCTTCGATGCAGGTTTGTTACTTGTCGAGTTTGTCTCTGGGATTCATCACCTGCCCTCCAGACGACTGGTTTGTTATCGCAATCACAGTGAGCGGTTTCTTTTGTCAAGACTCACCCTCATCTTCTTTTCTAGGATGCGAACTTCGGCCGTTACATGATCAAGCCTGAGGATATCGCACGCGCCATGAATCGTAATCCGAAAGTGCACACGGCTCTTATCTGCATCGGTGAAGGGGCAGAAGCAACCTGGTTTGTCCGGATTGGAATCATATTCGCAACTCTCAGCCCCTCTATTAGGATCCCCTCCGCGATTCCTGGACGTGGATTCCGCTTGAAGAACACGGCCGATATACCAATCGTCTTGCGAAGCATTCTTTCGACGATGGTGGACAGGTAAAATATGCTTAGGTGTCTTGGGACTCTTGGCAAGTCGACGCGAGCACGTGGTTTGTGGCTGTTGCGATTTCGATGGATATTGGGTTGATTAGAGCTCGGAAATCTTTCGCGCGGTTAAAGGGTGTATCTGGTTCGTAATATGGTGGACCTTTTGGTACAACTGCGATGTTGAAGCTCAGATACTAGTACAACTCCTTAGAAGTAAATAATCATTATTACAGTCGCACTGAGTGTTGTGAATTTGTGCTGCTTGAACTTCTCTAAATCTGCTTCCAGTGCCGAGCGGTACCGGCGAATATGTGGATCATGATCCATGATCACTGTGCGGGAGTACCTTCTTATGATCAGCAGCATTGGAACGCAAAAACTCACTTCAAGTTCAAGTTTGGCATCGTGAATGCTAGTGAGCGTGGGTTGAGAGTCAGGGACGAGAAGGTCTAGACGATTCGTGAGAAAGGGTCGGGAAAGGTGCGAAGCTGCTTATATGGTTCCAAATTTGCATCAAGAGATGCCGAAGAATTCAGGCGAATCAGCTTGCTTCGAAAGCGACTGCGATGAGTGCGGTGAGCCCGGCGCTTCTAGATTGCAATGACACCAGGACGGGCCTTGTCAAACACGGCTTCATGTTCCCACCGAGCGGTGAGACCACACCCGCGGGGAAAGAGAGTCTGGGGTAAAGCAGGTATGAAAATTGGCGCATGGGGGCCCTTGATCCCGTGTCATTTATAGCCGAGGGAAGGCATGGAACTCAAGTATATAAAGCTCCAAACAGTGAGTGACAAGTTGACTTTTGTCCGCTTCCCTGCACTCACGATGACCATTTTCTTCGCACCTCTGCGTCTGCCTCCTCGTTCAACTGAGAAGCAAGAGTCAATCGTCCGTTTGCTCTTGGATCTGACCCCACTACAATGGGCCTTCTTTTTTGTTGGCTGGCTGGCGTGGACTTGCGATGCGATCGACTTTTTCAGTGTCTCCCTCAGTGTCCCAGCACTCTCTAAGCAGGTCAGACCACTTTTGATCGTCATAAAGACTTGCATGATAATTTAGAAATACTTAGTTCGAACGCGACACCACCCACATCGTGCGTTTCTTTCGCAGACCTCATTGTTGTACTCACTAGTTGTTAGACTCAAGCTATCACCCTCACCCTGCTCTTCCGCTCGGTCGGTGCTGTTTTATTCGGCGTTTTTTCCGACCGTTTCGGCCGTAAATGGCCGCTTGTTTTCAACCTGATGCTTGTGGCCGTCCTGGAATTGGGGGCTGGTTTCGTCAATACCTTCAGGGAGTTTCTTGCCCTCCGCTCCTTGTTTGGTATCGGCATGGGTGGGATCTGGGGCTTGGCTGCATCCACAGCCTTGGAAAATCTGCCTGTCGGACTGCGTGGTATTGCCAGCGGGTTCTTGCAGCAAGGATACGCTGTCGGTTATCTGGTGTGCTTGTCGTTCATGATTTGACCTAATCTGAATGACAATCAAACAGCTTGCAGCGGTCATTTCCCTCGAGCTTGTACCAGAGGTGCGGCCTGGTTGGCGCGCACTGTTTTGGACCGGCGCTGGCATCTCGGCCTTTGGTGCCCTCCTGCGTGCTGTGCTTCCCGAAAGTGCCGCATTTGAAAAGGTCCGTTGAACTCCTTGGATCCGCTCTATCGTATTGATGTGATTTCGCAGGCGCGCAATGCCGCTGAAGCTCATGGCTTTGTCTCCGAGAAGGAGAAGACCAGAATATTCCTCCATGAGACGAAGGAAATGCTCAAGAAGCACTGGCTTCTCTGCATTTATTCAGTACTCCTCATGACAGGTTTGTCAGTTATGCGACAGCCTAAGGCTCAAGCTTACCTTTTGGTATCCCAGGTTTCAACTTCCTCTCACATGGCTCGCAGGATCTGTACCCGACCTATCTTCAGAAGACGAAAGGCTTCAGCGCCCATTCAGCGACTATCGCCACTATTATTGGCAACTGTGTAAGTTCCATCTTTCGACGGATGTCCGTCCCGAGCTGTCACGTTTGGCATGCTTTAGCTTCTATCTAACCTCTCACAAATCAGGGTGCCGTTTCAGGTGGTGTGGTAGCGGGCTTCTTCTCCCAGTACCTAGGCCGAAGAATTACAATTGTGTGAGTCGCCAGTTGAGAGTCGTGGATCTAGCTGCTTACGATGATCGCATCAGAGCCTGTGTTTTATTAACTGCGGTGTTCATCCCTCTTTGGATCATCCCTAACGATTTCCATGGGCTTGCTGCTGGCGCATTCTGCGTACAATTCGGTGTTCAAGGTGCTTGGGGTGTCATACCCATCCATCTAACAGAAATGGCTCCTCCTGCTTTCCGCGCGACATTCCCGGGCGTTGCGTATCAGCTAGGAAACATGGTGTCATCAGCCAGCGCCCAAATTGAAGCCAGTGAGAGTTCTCTGTGTTCTGCTAATGAAGTGTCACTCATTCAACTATCAGCTGGTGGTGCTCATCTCAAAACGACACATGATGGCAAGGAAGTCCCCGACTACGCTAAAGTGCAAGGCATCTTCATCGGGGTCATTGCTGCGTTTGTAATCTTCATAACCGTCATTGGCCCAGAGTACCATCTTCGCTTTCTTTTGCTCACTTGGTGCTCATGTCTGTCCAGGAACCATTCGTCTTCATTCGAGCTACACAAGGCTGCGTTTGACGCTGGGGGAGGTTCTGATGAGGCCTATATCGACGATGCCGTCCCTGCTCGACATGCGGACCTCGAAGCCAGTGACAACGAGAAGGCAACAGAAGAGAGGTTGAGCACGGACAACGAGAAGGAAGCTCAACAGTGAACTATTATATCTAACAACTACTCACGACTTCGCGGATACGACCAAGCGCGTGGCTAAATATCTAGCTCGATGCGAATGATAAAATGTTGCAGTAAAACCAAACAGTTTATCGAGGGCTGCAAACCCGTTTCAACGGTTTCATCGCCTGTATTATGTAAGTACCAGTCAAGCCAAGAGCACAGTTGTTAGACGATGTAGATGATAGCAACGGACTGATGTTTGGCCCTGTGACAAGAAACCATCTCCCTGTCTTGTTTCTTTCACGAAAGGCGCCGGTCGACTGCCTGCAGCAAGTCTGCATTCCACTCCTTTACACGGGCTTCTCACTTGGACTTGAGATGCCAACTGCCTCTGCCTGAGGTTTCCCGCTTTACCTTTGTAAATGGGATCTCTCTGCTTCTCCTCGGCCTCAATTCTTCGTTGCGAATCTTTCACCACACTCGAGTCCCAGCTACTCATAATTCCGACTGCGTTGGAGCTTTTGTTTACGGCGTCGGTGATATTCAAAAACTGGGGGACTGGTCGGTGAGTTGTCGATTCCTTTGCTCTAATTCCTTTGCTGACAACAAGCAGGAGGCATCTGCTTCTCACAGCCGAAGGATGGACTTACTTCGCGCTCGCCTTACTTGAGTTGCTCTCCCACAACATCCCCGCTGTGCGGGACAATGTTTCTGTGTTCAGTGTAGTGGATATAGTGCTGGGTGCGTTTCGCAAAGTCACTAATAATGCTCATCTGAACCTTTCTTGCTAGGTGCAACTTCTTTTATTCCGATTTTCTTCTACACGTTATTCCTATACTTATTCACACGCGGAGAACTCGTCAATACCCTTCCTCGACGTTTTCAAAACGTCTCCAGCATCTTGCTCTTCTTCTTTATCCCTACCATCGTCGCCGTCAATGAATTAGCATCCTTCATAGGGGTATCCCGGCGTACGCGACCAAAACTCTCGATTGTGCTCAAACACTGACCTTTTCTAGGTACGCTCAACATCGACGGAAAGGAAGTCGTTGCAATCGGCTTCAAGACCTTCAACGACCAACAACTATGGACATTCCTCACAAGCATCACCCTCGCTCTCCTCACCGCCTACCAGGCAATCAACTTTTGCTTCGCCTTCTATCGACTGATCCGAGCATTTATTGACCAACGCCGAATAGAAACAACCTCGACGGACCAAGCTCATCCTATCCGAGGCATTGGATGGATCTCTGCTGCCTTCAAATTTGGAGCGATTGAAACTGTTATCGGTTTTGCGCAGGACAGTGGATTTGGTGGTGCCTTGACCCGACGCATTTTTCGTTTACTGTCGCGCGCGTTCCTCGTCATTGGCGCTATAAAAGGGTCCGAGCACTTTGCAACACTGTTAATCCTCTGTCTGACCATTCCGCAGACTCGATCGTATCGACGACTTCACGGAAATTACAAAGGAATTGAATGCAAATCGGCCTATGCGACGCTCCCGAATGGCCGTTTTGATCTCCAACCCGCGTTTTAGCACCTTTCAACAGTTGACACCAACCGCCTCTCAATTTTACGATGCGAGAAAAGACCTACCTCCGCAGCAACCACAAATGGCTGAATTCTCTCAACTCAGACGTGATGCAACAATCGCCGAGCGACAACCCCCGCAACCTTTGTTGCGAACGATGACGCAAGCTTCACAAATGACGGCTGCTACGCAGTTTACACAAGAGAGCTTGACCCACCTTCGGCCGCGAGAAAGGGTCACAGTTCATTATGGAAGTGGTCTGCCGCCGACTCTGTCCATGCGATTCTCTGGTCTTGATATGCCAAGTCCCGCGGTCATCGCCGAGAGTGTCAAAGCCCGCCCTGTGTCGTCAAGTTGGGTGTCTATCGCACAGTCTTCTCGCTATGCCCCAAGCGCTACTGTCCCTTCATTTGCATTCGATGCACCGCCTGTGCCCATAACATATCCAGAATTCATCTACGGCCCCGGCGTCGAAACGACTCCCCGCCAGCACCAGCGCGCTGTATCGGAATTCAGTGTCCGAAGCTCTACTTATCCTGACTCCTTGCATGCTGTCCACGAGCTGGCGGGTCAATTCCCAGGCACTCCGTTCCAACAATCCTCCCCAATGGTGGAGAAGAGCGAATGGCACGATGATCCTGAGTCACCAGAACCCGTCTACCACTATCAATACGATGGTCAACCAACTTCGCCTGGACGTCCACATGCTTACTCTCCCCCCGTCGTCAACCCTCAGACCCCTCTTCGCCAACATCGGATAACCCAGAGCGATACCACACTGGGCACTTCTCCACAGACGGGTCTCGCCTATCTTTCTCCATTCGCAGAATTGAGCTCTACCCCTGCGACAGAAGTCAGCAGTGAAGATCCGTTCCAGTATGACAATCGCAAGCAGCCTGGCATCGTGCAAGCAGTGAAATTGGAGGATGGACCTCAAAATGGCGGAATGCCATATGAGCGTACATCTGCTGCTCTGTTACAGATGACCCAGCGTGAAGACGTGGATTGGACTCCTGCCGGATTCACTCCTGATATCCTTCCTGCTGCTTCGAATCCATCTCTTTCCTCGCGACGCACCCTGAAGAAGAAACGACAACCGGGCATGACATCTGCAACTACGGACACTTTTGCCAAACCTTGGTTAGAGGACGACCCAGAAGAATACAACAACGATGAACAACGTATAGTTGGTCCAGCGCGCGTCAAGAGCGTTGGCCGTCAGCGGGCACCTCAAAAGGCGACACCTGTTCCTGTCAATACGAAGCATGGCCTAACGAGGGGGAGCGTTTACATCCAACCTATCACTGTTCCTCCTCAAGAATTTCACACGGAGGTGCAGATTGTCCAGGGCGGCAGTAGTGCAGATAGCTACCAGAGTGAGTTTACTGAGAATCGAAACTAGTGTTGGAGTCAATTTATTTTGGGGATCGGTTATATAAATGAAATCTGTGTTTCTCTTGCCTCACATATTGGTGCGACGTGAATAATATAATGCAAGCTTTTCCATACAGCAGAAGATTGTTCATCCTATATCACTACTCATTCGTCCAGATTTGTGCTTTGCAGCTTTGCGGTCACCTCGCCGGATGGCGACGTTGGGGGAGGCGAGCCATCTTCAAGGTGGTGATGGGTAATCGAAGCTTCCTGAAACCAACAAGTCAACAAACAGGCAATAGAGTGAAGCAGAACATGCCTCCATAATCTCCTGCTCGCTCTCTTCTTTATACTGCCGGACATTTTCACTGAGAACCTGAGCCTCTTTCCCAAGTGGGTGCGTTCCAGCTAGCAACGTCATCCTACTGAGGGCACGGATGCTGAACGCTGCTTTCTTCCCTGTGACTTGTTGACGACAATTTACGAGGAACAAGTAAAATACTGACATGTTCGCTTAGCATCAAAAGCTTTCTTGACATGGGGGAGCAAGTCGGTTGGGCCACCACTTGGCGTAGATACGAAATGTGGGGTCGTAGAGGCAAGCCACTGTGATATTGATTGGGATTGCGGAGCGAGGATAGCAGAATGACATACCTTGTGCTCCAGAGCTTCTTGGGCAGTCGGCCGCTTGTTGGGGTCGATGGTTAAGCATGCGCGAACAAAGTCACGAGCAGTTTCGGAGACATTTGCCCAGTACTCCTCCGGCTCGAAGCGATACTCACCAGCGATGATGGCCTCCATTTCAGCCTTGGGAGTGTCACGGTCGAACGGGGTATATCCGGCCAACAAGAAATATGTGACCACACCCATTGCCCAGACGTCAACTGGCTTTGAGTGACCCGCTGTAGTTATGAATGAGTTGGATTGTAGGAGCATTGGGTGGTCACGAACATTTCAGGAAGATTTCTGGGGCCATATATCCCGGTGTGCCACAAACTTCAGTGAGCAAGCTCAACTTCTCCTCCTCCATTATACGACTTAGGCCGAAGTCCGCAATCATGATATCGGCTTCTTCTGCGGGGGTGCGGAATAGAAGATTTTCAGGCTTCAGATCGCGATGAACAATGCCGGCCGCATGAATGTACGCAACGGCCTTGAAGATCGTCCGCAGAAGGTCGGCAGCATCGCTTCAAATGACATTAGCGCAATAATAGAACAAGGATTCAAGGAAGACTTACGCCTCGTAATAGTTGCCTCGAGCACAAATTCGGTCGAAAAGCTCTCCTCCTGTGCACAAGTCGAAACAGAGGTACAAGTTGTGGGAGGTCTGGGTAAGATTACTTTCACTAGACAACATCGGGGCTCATCGACCGACCTCGAAGTAGTCATGCAACGTCACGATGTTAGGGTTTCCGCTCGAGATGCGTTTGAGGACTGCGATTTCGTTGCGGACCTGAACCTATGAGATTCCCGGATAGCAAAAGGAAAATCGGCTTACCATATGCTCTCTGCCCTCCATAAGCTTCTTGTTGATGACCTTGCAAGCATAGTACTTGCCAGTCTTGATGTGGATGGCCTCTTTCACGATAGCATACGTCCCGCTGCCAAGAGTTTTGCCCGTACGATACTGGAAGAGGAGTTAGAACGATTCTGACGGTGGACAGCGAATACCTGGCAGGGAACCGTTGCCGGCGACATATGTGATTATCGCTTGTGGAAGAGTTAGATGGGTGGCTGGGAGTCCGGACGAGAAGGAAAGAGTTGAACGTTGGAAAGGGACAAGCAGAGATTCCAATTGAGAGATATGTCGCACAGCCACTCACGTGTGAAGCGGAGGTCTCTGTCGCCGAGTGTTCTGATTTCAGTTTCTAACTGTTGGCGGGGTCGGAGACGTCGCTTCAAGTTGAAGATTTACTTCAAGGTCCACCATATAAAGAAACGAGCAGAGGGGTTAGTTAGTACCTTGACCGATCTAAATATTCAGGCCCACGCCTTGAGTCAGCTTCAATTCTTCATTGCATGATGCGCAGCAACTCAAGACTCCTGACGCTCAATGACTGGTTTCAGGTCATTTCTGATGGTTGTCCTGTGCACCTATTATAATAGCAATCTGGACTGTTCCTCGTTCAACGCATCCTACGACGATATGACTGACACTTGGAAGTCTTTGGAAGTGTACCGTTACGTGTATTGATATGCTTTCCAATTCGTGACACACACACACACTGCCATCCAATCCATATCAATACAATCAACCTGTAAATTCCTGGGTAATCCTATATACTGGACTTAGAACGACAGATTTACATTTCCTCATGGGAGGACATCGGCGGTCCTCACAGGTATACTATGCCATTCGTTTGGCTGGGATTGTGGACACCGTGACCATGCGTAAGGTTCGGTGGTGTAGTTGGTTTATCACACCTGTCTAACATTGCCTTCGAGTAAATGGTTCACAGGAGGTCCTCAGTTCGAGCCTGGGCCGAATCACATTTTTCCTTTGCAAGTTTATCGCTTGCCGATCTAGCTTGCTTCATATAACTCCTCCCAAGTACTTGTGTCCCAACGTCTGTGAGGGACCATTGCTTTTGGGCACCATTGGGCCACATAATTCGACCTTGAGGTCTTTTTGACTTTAAAGGTTTTCGGGGCTTGCGTTTCCTGATCTGATCGACTACTATTCTGAACACGTGTTTGTATGCCCCCACGCTCACCCCCTTCACGGTCGACACTTTCTCCTTCACCCAAGTCCTCGTCCTATCCGCAAAGCGATGTTGCCACTTACCGTGACCTTCTTTTATTTGAAGAACGACTCAAATCAACTGCTGCTAGTCTGCAGCGACGCAAGGCGCGGTACCAGCGTAAGTTGTCCATGGATTTTACTTTTGAAGTCTCACAAAAACTTAGTATTCCTGATTCAACTATTGTTTGTGATTGCATTCCTCCTGGTGGAAGTTTTGCTTCCGCCAGACATTTCCCTCATTGCCATCCCCTGCAAGCTGGTGTTGCAACGGCTGCTGCCTGATATCTACACATCGGAAACGGAGGTTCGCATTCACCCTTACTTCTCGACCGGCCTTCTGTTTGTGAGCGTCACAACTCTCGCCCTCTTCTTTGCGAGTGGCACATATTCGGATAAAATTGCATATGCCAACAAGTGTGTCGCTTGGCTTTGGTTCTCCTCCTTGCGTCTAACTAACACTTTGGCCAGATATGTCCCCCACGCGAACAAGGCTCTCCGTTCATTCAACATGTATCTCAATGTTCGTCAGACACCGTTGCGAACTAAAATATGGTCCAACCCACTTGCGTTCTTCTTCCCTCGTCCCGTCGAAGATACGCCGACGCCTTCGTCCACGCCTTCTCACTCTCGCACATCAAGTCTTGCATCGACCCCAACTCTGCGTGGTCCCGGCTCGTCAAGCACAATGCTCTTGCAGCTGTCGCCTGTTACTCAGACCATCGTCAACCCATCCACGCCAGTTCCGATTCCTCCAATGCCTCCTACGACCAATCCGCGGGGTGAACTCCGCTTCTCTTCTCGCGTCGATCGGGCGTTCCGCGATGGCTACGAGCGATATCGTGCTAATTTCGAGCGTCGCAGAGCACTTCACGAACAGCAAGCGCGAGGAAAAGTAGGGCGTTGGTGGTGGTGGCGATGGCCGACTTGGTTCTCCTCAAGTCAGCCACCAAATCCACAACCACCTGTTTCGATGGGATCTGATGGAAGAGCTGGCACCCCGCTGCAACCAGCGTTGACAATCACACCTGCTTCCACTCAACAACGACTCGCAGAACGGCGAGGTACACCACCTTTGATGATGGGCGCAGCCACCCCAGCAAATCGTATCCAAACCCGAGCTGCGTCGCGTAGACAGTCCGGGATACCAGACCTCGACGACTCCGGTGTACTACGACGATGAACAAAAAAAACAGTCTGTACTTCCTCATGTATCATCAATACGATAAAATACACATTACAATAGACAAGTAATATAAAACAACTGAAGCTCACATTCAATCAGTACCACCTTCCAATGCTTTGACAATACCGAAGGCAGCTGCTGCCGCGACTCCTCCAACCAAAAGTGTGCTCACAGCACCCCAAACATAGCCCTTCGCACCGATGGCAGCACCAGTCACTTGAGCCTTGACTGCTCCAAAGACGAGCAAAACAACACCCGTGATAATTGCACTCCAAAGCAATGCGACATGAGCGCGAGGGATGAAGAAGTAAGGGATTAGAGGAATGATGCCTCCAATAAGGTAGCCAGCGCCAATGGTGAATGCAGAGATGTACAGGCGACGAGTGGGTACTTCTTCAAGACCAGCACCAAATTTGAGCAGGAAGGGCGTAAGTCCAACTTCTTTACTCCAGCGCAGAGACTCGTTTGACTCCAGATCGTGACGGGTTATATTTGTTCTCGGGCCACCCGGAACTTCAGCTTCGCGGAGACACCTCGCTACAGCGCGGCACGTCTTATCGTCAACGCCGATAGGAGCCAGAACTTCGGCGACCTCCCTCTCCATTTCTCCGTCACAACTTCGAACGACTCGTGCTGCAGTAGTGTCGCGTAGAAATCGGTAATGGTCCCTTTCAGCTTGAGATGCGAGGAATCCGCCAATCCCCATCGAAATGGCACCGGCAATGAGTTCAGCCACCCCACCAAGTACTACAAGTCTGGACTCCCCCAGTGACGACAGGCCAGCCGTCAATGCAAAAGGAACAGTGAGGCCATCAGAAAGGCCTATGACACTGTGGAGCGGTGAGCAAACAATCATAGCCCAAGGCGAGTGAACAGCTCACACATCGCGAACAACATCTGGGTCAATCAAAGTGCGCTCGTCCCCCTTGAGCTCTTTGCAGCAAACCCCGTCAGGTCGAACGTGTCTGGAACACCGTGCAGAGGACGGGATGGCCACTTCGGGTACCGCTGCGTCCAATGCCCACACTGGAGGCTTTGGCGGTCCTTGGCTTTCGGCAGAAGACTGAGCTCTAGCACGCGGAAGAGGAACGGAGGCAGGTGGCGGAGACGGTGTAGACATAGAGGCAGGATGGAAAAGCACGTCACTTGCTCAGCAAATAATTTGATTACCGTCGTGAACCGTGATGTCGATCACCGTCTCACCAATCATATTGTGCCAATTGGAAGGCTTGGGTGAGAGGAGGATGGAGAGCGGGCTTTTGTTTTGCTATGGACCCCGGATTCCAGTTCCAGAGTGTTGGGGTCACTTGGAACTAGCTCGCACGCAGGTCGTGTGACACACACAGAAAGAAAAAAGCAAGTGTGCGAAAGCAATTGCAGCAGCACACTGCAAAAGCGTGTGATTCGGCCCAGGCTCGAACTGAGGACCTCCTGTGAACCATTTACTCGAAGGCAATGTTAGACAGGTGTGATAAACCAACTACACCACCGAACCGTTGTACATGGCTCCGTAGCGAATTCTACATCCAGCCTCTTTGCTTAGTACCACCCATAAATCCAGCTACGTTCCAAGCTTCCAAATGAGGTGTAGACATAGTAGCTATTTACTAGTACTAGACGGCGTTTTGTTTGTTTGTAATACGGTACATTGAGACAGCGACTACTTTATTATCGGAATCTTGTTTGGTGACATAATAGCTGGTGACGTGATTGCTTGTCATCGTTTTCGGGCCCGTGAGGGACTCGGAACACGCTTCGCGCTTGAACCACCACCTCCATCGCAAGAAACTAACAATATGGCCACCGTCACCTCCCATACGCAAACCCGCCCAGCTCAAAGTCGGGGCAAGAGCCAAGGAAAGACGAAAAGCGGGCCAAACAACAGCCATCGACGTGGCGGGCAACAAGGACAGCGAGGAAAGAAGGAAGGCGAGAAGGTGGCGCCTGCCATCGAAGACGATACCGCTGCTAGCGAGGGCGATGCGGATGTATGCTGGATTTGTGCCGAGCCAGTGAAATACTACGCCGTCTCGGAGTGCAATCACAGAACCTGCCATGTCTGCTCGTTGCGGCTCCGGGCTCTCTACAAAAAGAACGAGTGCACGTTCTGCAAGGTCCGCCTCGCGATTCATACAATCCGTTCTCTCATCGGATAACAATAACAGGAACCACAACCAGCCATGGTCTTCACCATCTCTCCTCAAGCGCTCTTTTTGTCGTTCGAGATAGAGAGGATAGAGTTCAAGGACACGAAGCTTTCTGTCTTTTTCGAAACCCAAGAGATGATGGAGGAGACGTTGCTGCTCCTCCGCTTCAACTGCCCCGACCCTCAGTGCGATTTTATTGGTAACGGCTGGAGCGACATCAAATTACACGCCCGAGCATCTCACGGGAAGCTCATGTGGTGAGTAGATAACACGAATATGGCGATGTCGGAAAATAACAGACTGCAGCGATCTTTGCATCCGCCACAAAAAGGTTTTCGCGCATGAGCATACCCTCTATCCACCCAACATTCTTCCCTTACACCTGCCCTCGATCTTGACTGCAGCGCGTCCCTCCCGACCTGGGAAATCCAAAGACAAAGATCAGGTTGAGGGCGGGGTTCACCCATTCTGCGAGTTTTGTCGGGAATGCTTCTTCGGAGATGATGAGTTATATCGACACATGCGGGAAGCACACGAAGAATGTTTTATCTGTAAGAGGAACGACATCCGGGATCAATAGTGCGTCGGTTTTTCTAGCTTCCCTCCCTCGCTGACCATCCCACCAGTTTCACAAACTACGCCGCATTGGAGACGCATTTCACACGAGACCACTTTCCTTGTCCACACCCTACGTGTCTAGCCCGCAAATTTGTGGTATTTAACAGCGCACTCGATCTCAAGGCACATGCTGTTGAAGAACACGGAGGAGAACTGGGGAAAAGCGAACTGAGGGATGCAAGACGTATCGAACCTGCATGGGACTCAGGTGGACATGGCAGGGGTCGCGGAAGGGAACGGGACCGTGAACGAGCCAGAGATCGAGATCGAGACGGCCCACCACCGTCATCTTCCCAACAAACCCAAACTCAACAACAACCAGCAAGACCGCCACCAACTGGAGGTAGAAGAAGGGAAGGATTTGGCTCACAGTTAACAACCGATGGTGAAACTTCGACTCCCACACCAGCACGGACGCCGTCCCCTTCAAGAGATGTAGATCCAGCCACCGCAGAGTAAGCAAGCACACCAATGTTTTTTTGCTCTGTGTTTATCACTGTTACAGGCGACATTCCGCATTCATTTCGAGACTAGCATCGATGGCACCTAACCCTACCACGGCGCTTCCTGCTGCACGAGCTGCAATTCGATCCTTCCGGGCTTCCGAGTCGTCAGCACGCGACCTTATTTCAACACTCTACAGTATCGTTGATTCTCGCATGGAAGCCGCTTCCAGCGTCGTCAATGCTCTTGTCGACTTGTTCGATAATTCCGCCGATGCTGAACAAAGGGAGGCCATACTGAGTGCTTGGCGTGATTTCGAGGTTTCTCAGAGACAACAGTTTCCAGACCTTGTCCCGACATCTGTTGGCGGTGGTTATGCAGGGATCACCAGTGGGAGAGTGTTAAATGCAAAACATGCTACTGCAACTCGACAAGGACGGGCTGTCTGGGATCGCGTAGCGCAGGCTGCCCAAGCTTCCAACGCCCAACAACGGTTCCCCGCCTTGTCGAACTCGTCATCGGTACCCGGCGGTCCTTCGAAAGCTATCCCTGGACAACGTAACACGCCTTGGTCGGCGTCAGCATCTGGTAAACCCACTGGATTTGCGGCTTCTTCGTCATTCGTTCCACCTCCAATCGGCGGGCCCACACCCGCTGTTGTTGTTCCACGATCAGAATCGATAGGGAACTCAAAAAGGCGGGCCGCCTCCCAAGCTATCCAACGCATTGTTCCCCGAGCTGCCTACACGACAGAAGACGGCAGTTCAGGTAAAAGGGAACCAGAGCTTGAAAAATATCCTGGGTCAAGCAAGCCAGGGCGGTGGCGCGTGGGGAGGCGGCGCAAATGCACCGCCAGCACCACCGCCTCCCACAGCGGAGGCGGTAGATGAACCAGTTGCGGCGAAGAAGAAGGGCAAAGGGAAACAAAAGCAAACTCTGTTCACACTGGGAGCTTTCCCATCCTAACATCTTATTCATATGTACATATCGTTACTTGGACGTCCAAGTTCATGTGGATCGAGAGTGCGAAAAATCAGTGATATCATGGACATGATCACCGGGAGACCCAGTAGAAAGTTATTTGAGAGTCGCGGGATCTCGATATTACAAGAAGACAAGCAACTAAGCTTGCGCTAAATTGTACTCGTTGACTAGGAACATTAGGAGGACTTGCAACCCGTGTTGCAATTGATGGTGAAACGATGCCGAAAGGTATATGAGTTTGGAAAGCAGAAGCATAGCGCGAAGTGGGAAGCATAAGTCATCCATCCGTATGAGTGGTCCTTGTGTAATAAAGATACGATAGCGATAATTGACCCTATTACTTAGGTTTGCTTTGGTGGCGCGGGCGGTATATTGGGAGACTCTGCTTTCGATTTTGAGGCAGAGATATCTTTGCTCCTCGGCTTTGAAGCCAGCGGAACGGATTGACGACGCGATTCGTGTGTTCGCTTTGAGCTCGTGCGAGTAGATCCAGAGCGGACATCAGAGGAATGGCGTCGACTGGAACTGAATGATGCCGGGTCGGCCTTTTTGAACTCGGAGGGCGCTGCTGTGGGTATAGGGTCGGCCCTTTTCATCTCGGAGGAGTCTTTGCGATGTGCTGAAGGCTCCACCGTGTGTAACTTGTCGAATATGGGCGTATGGAAGCTTTCACGAGAAGGAGTTGGCAATGGCTTCGAGCGAGAGCGGGTCCATGTGAGAGACGATCGCGAGTGGGGTTGTTCCGATGCTGACCGTCGAGTGACGGTCTGGGACTTGTTCGAGCGTAGCTTTACTCCAGACGCGGGAGCAAGCGAGGAGGTGACAGAAAAAGACAGCGTTCCCGCCTTCTCGTCGGGTTTGGATGTGGATGATTTCCTTGGTGACTTTACGTTTTTTGACGCGACCTGGACGGAGTCGGACTTTGGCGGCGACTTAGGTGTGCCTGAGGGTTCTGGTCGGACCGGATCCGAAATTATGCTTGTGGGTCGCGACACGAGCACAGGCTCATCGTCAATGGCGTTGTCGACGGGACCATCCTTTTCTTCGTCCTTACGCCACCGAGCCGCACCCATCGTCAGCGAGCGCCGGATGGAGCGCAGTGCCGACGCGGCACTACTACTATGTCGCTTGTGTTGCGTCTTCTTGGGCGTTTCCATGTCGCGGTCTGTGACAAGAAATGAGAGCGAATCCCACGAAGCACGACGCTCAACAACATATCAGTTGACGACGTACCTGAAGCCCTCCCTGTCATCTTCAACACTCCAAACTGCGATCCTGGTTCCCCCCACATACGCGCTGCCATCAGTCGTGTCTCTGAAATGGTACCGCCCAGTGTCTGCATCGTAACCCGTGCGGACCATTCCATGAGGCAGTCGATACTCGTCCTACGAGCCCGTTCTATAAGTAGATCGCACTGTAGTGCATCTCGCACCTCATCATATTGCGTCCATCGGCCCATTATTAATAAACCCCAGATATGGTTTGTCGAGAAGATGCGAACGACGTCGAGTACAGTTCAGCGGGGTTGAAATCCCAACCTATGAGTCTGCGCTGATAGGCCAGACTGAACTCGAGTGCAACGTTGCCAACATCCGGTCATGGATCAACAGCTGGACTTATCGAGTCCATCACAGTCACGTGTGTTGTCATATCCTTACTTTCGACACAAAATATGTTCATTCAACAATTATGGAAGATATTTACAAGTTCAACCAAGTTAACGTTTTCCCTTCCGTGCCTTTCCCTTCCTTTTCGCTGAATCTGTCGCCTCCGAGTCTTTCACTAGCTCCTTTGTGACCCATTCTTCCTCCTCCAAGTTTCGTAGATCCACCTCCAACTCACCAAAATCTTCTTCAGGCTGTGGAGCCCCTTCACGTTGTAGTCGCGCGCGTCGAGAAAAGGAGGCCGCCGCCGCAAAAAGGACGCTCAGATACCGAAACAAGTCCTCCGTGCCCGGATGCTCGACCTCTTTCGCCAGGAAGTTGACTAGATGCAGATCCGCGGCGAGGGAGCCCGGCCCAGCCATCCCGGCCGCCCCGATCACTGAGTGTAGCGTTGTCTGCGACACCACGGTTTGGAGCAACAAGTGTCCCAGGTGCGAGTACTTGAACTCGGGCGATACGTCCGGACTGCCTTGAAGCCGCTCCGCCTCACGAACAGCAAAATCTATACTTGGGCCAGCGTAGGGAAAACGTACGCCCGGAAAGGTGGGGGAAAGGAAGTAGTCTAGTGGCTTTTCGTGGTCAATCTTGGACTCCTCGGCAGAGGCTTGTCTATCTATTTGTCTGGATTTGAGGGGTTCATGATCCACACGAGTACGAGACAAGGGTTTAGAGCGAGGCGAAGGGTCTGGTGGGTCAACCTCGACTACGGAAGGAGAGCGGGAGGGCCGATGGTTGGCTTTCATGGTATCGACGGGACAAGGACTTGCTGATCTTTTAGCTCGTTTGTTGGATGGTCCAGCAACAGCAGCAGTACCAGGGAAGGAGTGGCGACCGCGTTTTCCGAGTGAACTGGATTCTAGCAATGTCAACTTCGAGCTGCTGGCCAGAGACGATGGGATATTCGGAGCTAATAACGAGTCTGCTCCGTGTTTTTTGACTTTCTGCCGTTGCTTTTTCGACTTGGCTGTCGCAATTGGGAGTTTGGAATGTTTGTCGACCCAATACGGGACGTCCCGCGGGACGATTTTTGGTCCCGATTTCTCCAGAGTCTTCACCCAATTACGCAGCAGCTCGGGGGAGACCGCCGCCGTCAGCTCGTCAAACGTGCGGATGGTGCCTTTCCCCCATTGGTCATGTATATGTTTGGGCACCCATTCCAATCCACATAGTTCATATCGCATCCTTTCTTTCCCTTTATCGAATACCTGGTTCGTCCTAGCTGAGCAGAGGGAAGGGCAGATGAGTGGGACGCCGCAAACGCGAGTTCTGAGCTGACCCTCGTATGATTGGCGAAGCAGGGTCGCGACCTGTTGGCGGAGTTCGCTTCGCCCTATGATATCTGCCTGCGAGCGAGGAGGTTGAGGGAGATGCATTGCCGTTCATGGACTTGGACCAAAGTCAGGAAAGAGAGAGAGAAATGTGTGGATTCAATGAAAGTTGTAGAACTGGAACAAGTGTGAACGATGGATGTTACGGCATGGTCCAGTTCACGAAGCTTCGGCAAACAAGGACTTTATTCCTTGAAATTCAATACATTCATCCACAACCTCATTAGTTATTTCCTAACCGCTGACCACCTGAGCCCCAATTATACCCTGCTGTACTCCCACCGGCCTCTGGGGCATTGACCGTCCTTCGCGGCGCGACGATGTGGACTCCGCCACCCGCATTTGCTCGTCCTGGCTCTGGAGCGCCAGCGACTGTCGGTGTCTGGCCCATCCAGTTGGCAAACCATGCTGGGGCCGCTCCCCACGGATATAATACTCCTCCTCCACGAGTTCCACCCGTCTCAGAACCCCAGATACCCCACCACCAGAGATGTCCGACAATGGCGCCAGGTAACGAGCTCGCTACCGCCGCCGGTCCACTGAGAAGGTCCATGCCAAGCATCACGTAGGGAAAGTACCGCACGGGGAAGGTAACAAGCCCAAACAGTGATGTTTGAGCACCTGGGGGCGCAAGGGCAGAGCCAACATAGATGATGCAGAGAACGAATGCGCGAGTGAAGAAGAAAGAATTGACGGGAATGCTAGTTACCTGTGTCGGTTGTGAGTATAGTTAGATCTGAACAGCTAGGACGAGGCAACGAAACGCACAACGATGCCAACGCTCGCGACGAAGAGCTGCCACGCCAGGTCCGCAGATTTATGCAAGTATGGTCCCGTCTCAATCTCGTTCATTGTTCGACTAGAGAGAATCAGTTCCTTCTTCGTCTCAATAAAGCAGAACCAACTATAGCATCGCCAGCTCTGGCTAACAGGTTAGAAGTGAATGCTGCAGGGGTAATAATAACGCACCGAACACATAATTTATACCACCACCTGGACTTTGAATCAGACAGTTCAGTCAACACCGATAATTCCACTCACTCCCAAGAAAGAAGCTGGTGTATAGTCTCCATATCTGCAAGAAATAATGAGAAAGTTTCGCGGCCGACTGAAGTATTGCCAGCGAACCTCGAGGTGTTCAAACACTTTTTCGAAAGAGTAAAAGATGTGGTATGGGGAGATCATTTTAAGCATGACCGGAAGGGTGACCGACACCGATGAGATGCATAGTAGGCGAGTTACTGGTGGTATTTTCTTGATCTCAGCAATTAGCTCGTTCATGGCTGGAAGGAAGACGTGTTCGCGACGTGGTGACGCGAATCGGGTTGATTGGGTCAAAATCGGTCGGCGATCACTTTGGTCACTTGTTTCCTGCGATGATCTCTGACTTTCAAAGCACCGCTAGCAGCGTACTTATTCTGTGCTGGGAGCTTGTTGGCTTATAGCAAGACTCGAGAAACCCATCAAAATTGCCTTCCGACAAGGATAATGGAGCTTACTCAGGCTGCTGTGTCAAACAACAAATAAAACTTTCGGGTCTCCATCATAGGTGAATGCCGTCCTTCATACAGTTCCACCAATTTTAATAGTCCAATGGGCGAACGGGCGCCAATCCTGCCGGTCCCGCTGCCGCTTGTTGGTCGCAATACTTTTCATTCTTTCTCTACCATTTCGCTCTGGTCGTCTGGAATGACCACCCCGCGGCGCATTTTTGTCGACGACACAGACCCATCCATCCACTACTCCGCAAACCAGTGGTTTCCTCATGACGTCAACCAGCTCAAAATCGGCAACCTGGGGCCAGTGTGGAACGGCACAACGCGCAGTACGATTGCCAATGGCGCAAGCATGAGCTTCACGTTCAGCGGTACTTCTTGGTCTTGCTATGAAACTTGTCATTTTTCTCTGAAATTGCTTTAGGTACTTCTGTTTCCCTTCTAGGCAGCATCATTGTGACGATGGATGCTCAAGGCAATCCGGACCCGACCTGGCTATGTACAGTCGACGGAATCGCAATTTCAAATGGCACCAATCCCTTATTCAACTTCCCAGAAAACAATTGGAACCTATGTGACCAAACGACGCTCCTTCCCGGTCCACATACTCTGAAAGTGAACATTCAGACCAAGGGACAACCCTTCTACGTGGACAGCATTGTCTACACACCAACTCCAGATGTCAGCATAGATGGCGCAGTTCTGGAGTACACGGCAGGGGATCCCGCGATAACCTACGGGCCAGGGTGGCAATTCTACACGGTGGAAGACAAGGAGAATATAACGCAAACCAACGGCGCTCAAGTCGCCTTTAATTTCCATGGTGCGCCACAACTCATACTTGCGATTTCACTCAAGCATTCATTTATAGGTACTGCCGTTGCTTTAACAGGATATATACCGCATGAGCTTGCTCACAGTGCAACGACCGCGAAATATTCCATCGACAATGAACCTGCAACGACTTTCACACTACAAGGGCTGTCGCCGGAGGCAACGACAACTTTGTTTAATGTTCCAATGTTCTCTGTTAGCTCGCTTTCTCCCGGCGAGCATAATGTGGTCGTCACCTACGAGGGCGATTCGACCAAAACTCCACTTCCCGTCAGAAACTTCTACGTGACCAACTCCACACAACCTGTTCCTACGACTTCTTCTGTATCCGCAAGCTTTAGTCATCGCCCATCCAATACTGTTGTTGCCCAGCCAGGAGGAACCAAACATCCACCCGCTGCGGCTATCGCAGGGGCAGTGGTTGGCAGTCTTCTCTTTCTGATCGTAATCGCTGTCTTGTTCTGGCTCCTAAAACGCAAGAAACGAGAAGAAATCAATAGGTTTACTATCGACACAATGGAAACGGGATCGGGTGTAAACGCATTGCAGTCACGCTCTCAATATGGCATCCTCGATCCATATATCCAATCCGAAGGTCAAATCCATGTCGCAACTCCGTCACAGGCCACACCATACTCGTATCCGTATAGGTCTCTCCGTCCTCGGAACGATGAGGCTAGCGAAGGCTCCTCGTCATCCGAGTTTAGCTCAGTTGGCACCGAGAGTATTTCTCAACGGGCAAGAGCAATATCACATTCGGATAAAGCTCGAGAGCTTACACCGCAACGCCAAATCATCATCCAACGACACCAAGACAGCGGGGTGCGCCTAAATTCAGACCACTCTCTGCATCTTCAGCCAGAGATAGTGGATCTCCCACCAGATTACAGTCAAGATTAATTACTCGGCGCTTGGCTATTGGACCTCAGGCTCCGTACACTCATGAAACTACTACAGTACTACTACTATCTGTGGACGTTATAATGGGATGGACTGCACGACTGAATACCCAGCTCTGAGTCGCGGATTGGTATAAGTCTGTATAATTTTTGTTGTATGTATTGCATGCTTGGAATCCGAAGGAGCTTGGATTCTGCATCTTTTAGGACTACTCAGTACTCTTCCCACTCATTGATCCCGTGACCCCGTTTTTTTTTTGCCGCGGCTGCCGCCACTGTGTGGCAACCGCTCCCATGAGCATCGAAGATAAGGCTTGGAGCTGACCACCATGGCACTGGGCTGGGTTTTTCTGCTGCATGCATGGACCACCATCGCTGGGGCGTCACAAACTATCTTTCGAGCTCCTTCTTCGTATGTCGATTCCACTGCCAGCACGAACTCAAGCATTACTCTAGATATGATGACGGTCTTTTCACGCCCTTGGAGGACATGAACGTTCTATCCACCTCCGAGTTCACTGTCCTGAGCCATCCTGTGTTCCCCCAGTACAACGTTCGAATCAAGAAAAGTCCGTTCTGCGACTCAACCGTCAAGTGAATACAATACTCGCGCGGGGGCGAGGGGTCTTGTTGCTCACGCGTCGCCAGATCCTACACAGGCTACATCGACATCGAGGCCCGCCACATCTTCTTCTACTTTTTCGAAAGTCGGAGCAACCCCGACGAGGACGACATGATCTTCTGGACCAACGGCGGGCCGGGCTGCAGCTCAAGTCTAGGTCTGTTCATGGAACTGGGTGCGTTTGTGGAAAGAAATAATGCTTTTAGTGTTTGCTCATTCAAAGCTTAGGACCGTGTCGCGTTCTCGACGCTAACGGGACAAAATTCCACCCCGAAAGCTGGAACAACAACGCCAACATCTTCTTCGTCGACCAGCCGATCGGTGTTGGATTTTCGTACGCTGACCATGGAGAGACAGTGGTATGCTCTGCTACCTTTATTTGACTATGATTCGATATGCGCATAGTCAACAACGGAAGAAGGCGCTAAGGATATCGCTGCATTCATGTTCGTGTTCTTCCAACACTTTTCCAAGTTCAAGGGCCGCCCTCTCCACATGACTGGGGAATCCTACGGCGCAAGTTCTGCCTTTCAAAAGAAGCTCACGAAATACTTATATATTTCCAATAGGGCCGCTACGTTCCTGTTTACGCCGCCGAGGTTTATGACCAGAATGCCAAACTCGCAGCGGCCGGGTATGCTCCCATAAACCTCAAATCAGTCATGATTGGTGCACTCTCTTGTGGCCACCTTATGAACCGTTTGACTTTTCAAAGGGAACGGGATTACTGATTTTTTCAATCAAATGTCCTCTGTGTTTGACATGCAATGCACATCAGCATCCATCGAGCCTACGTCCTCTATCGGGTGAGCAGCTCAATAATACCTTTCCGCACGGTCTCATAAACACCACTTCCTAGAGACTGTGTTATGATGAAGCGCATGGTAAGCTTCAACGCTATCTCGGGGAGCTAACGCCAACTCAGTATCACGGGTAGATTCCTCGGTGCCAGAAGCGTCTCAAAGAGTCGTGTGTCGATATGTTCGATGCGGTGGACTGTGCCGCTGCCGCCAGCTTCTGCTCGACTTACCTGCGAGAGCCGTATCGCAAGTCTCGTTAGTTTCGACCCAAATTCTTCTTTGTCTCCTTTTCACATTGGACAGAACTTAATCCATATGATATATCCAAACCCTGCGACGACGATCTACTCAAAGAAAGCCTTTGCTATCCCGTCACCGCGTAAGATCTTATCTTAACGTTTGTTCCTCTTGGCTGAACTGGACCCAGCCACATCCGAGAATACCTATCTCGTCCCACTGTCCGGGACACTCTCGGTGTCGACCCATCGGTCCCCGCAAACTTTACCTCATGTGCAAACGACGTTGGTAGTGCCTTCCGCACGCATCTCGACGGCTATATCGCTCCTACTCAAGAATACGTCGCCGGGCTGCTTGAACGTGGTATTCAAGTCCTGATATATGTGGGAACATACGACTGGACATGCAACTGGGTACTCAGAAACCGAGTCGATGTATCTAGTTGGCTAACGGTTATTTCATAGGTCGGCAATTCCCGATGGACTCTTGCACTGGAGTGGAGCGGAGCAGAAGCATTCCGCGCCGCAGAGCTCCGTCCTTGGGCAATCGCCAATGACCTTGAAAACAATGGGCAGGCAGGACTAGTCAGAAGTGCGAAAGGATTAACGTTCTTGACCATCGACAAAGCAGGACATATGGTCAGCCCTTTTTTTACAATGTCGGGACACGTTTTTGATGATGACAAGGTTCCATACGACAAGCCCAAAGAATCTCTAGAGCTCGTCCAGCGTTGGCTATCCGGCCAAGAGTTCTGAAATCATGTCTCGTAGCAGAAGTTGCTCTGGAATTATTATCTCAGACCCTGTATCAATACTTGAAAGATCAGTCACAAACAACAACCTTGCGATGAACGAGCATCGACTTCATTACATCCCCCTGGAATCTGACCCAATCATATTCACCGAGCTCATCCAAGCTCTAGGTGTACATTCATTGCAGTTTCATGACGTCCTGTCTCTCGATTTGGCGGATCTCTCGCCGTCTGGGGCCTTAGCATTGCCTGCTGACCCTTACGCGTTAATATTGATATTTCCGACCACACAAGAGTACGAGGCTGACTTGAAAGCGGCCAAGAAGCGCGCTCATCTGGATGGGACACAGTATAAAGGTTGCGGCGAGCAGGAGCCTGTCCATTGGTTTGAACAGACGATCGGAAATGCTTGTGGGTTGTATGCAATCTTGCATGCTGTCGCAAATCTGGGGCCAGCAGCGAGTAAGGACCATATAGGTAGGCAAGTTTAACCACCGAAAATGGACTTGCTAATCACGATTTTACGCGCAGCATCTGGATCTGTGCTCGAGTCATTTCTCGCGGAAGTCATTCCTTTTGACCCCGAGCAACGCGCCGCGGCTCTGGAGACATCACCAGCCATCGCGGAAGCTCATCGACGCGCTGCGGTCCAAGGAAGCACACCAGTACCTGATGCTGAAGACGAGGTCTATTTCCATTACATTTGCTTCGTCAAGTCTCCAAAGAACGGTCATATCTACGAGTTGGACGGAGACAAGAACGGATTTGTTGATCGCGATTCATTTTTGGAGGGCGACCAAGACCTGCTCAGCGGCGGCCTCAAACTGGTACAGTCATTAATCGAAACGGAGAGCCAGCAGTTCCAGCTTATGGCCTTGGTACCAACAACGTCGCCGCCGACTGAGTTACCTTGAAGCACTCTGCGTAAAAATACAGTCACTACTCTATATCGGCCCTTTACAGTTCGGGCAAGTAAGCGTAAAGAGAACATTGTCATTCGTGACTAGTTTCTTTGGACGGCCTCTTGGTCTTTTCCCGTTCCCATTCAGCTTCGCACTGGCGCTATCATTTGGTATGGCAATTTCATGTTCCACCGGCAGCTCCCAGCCCTCCACCATCGCGTCTTCCCACCCATCCGGCATCGCCTGCTCCCAAGTGAGTTGTTCTCCCTCAGTAAGTTGCGCTTCGACTTCTGCGGCGTCGTCGCTCTGAAGTTGGTTGCATGCCCTTCTCCGGGCAGTCATCACTGCCCTCACGTTTCCAGCTACACCCACGCCAGAACCCGCGCCACGAACAATAGGCTGCGCCGCCGCTTGCACCAGTCTAGGCGGAAGACCCGACACGTCTAATGTGGCTTTAGACGCCAACATTCCGTTGGTGCGCCGACGTTTTGCGGTAGGTCCAGAGGAAGAAGCAGTACTCGGTGATTGAGCGAGGGTCGGCGTCCCAGTGTCTGGATTGGAAAGCAGATAATCAATGCGAGAGCGACCAGGAACAGCAGTTGATTCCACACAATGACGGTGGAAATATTTTCGGCATGTGGGTTGTGGACATAGGTGCATGACCGCGCCAGGGGATGGATCAGATGGGTTATAAGGTTGGTTGCAGATGCAAGTCAATTGCGGCATAGGCTACAACGAGTCAGAAAGCCGCATAAAAACGGCAAGAAATAATACACACAGTGATTGTTGGGGGTTTCTTCTTCTCCCTCTCGACAGCAAGTTCATATCGAAAGAAATATGTCTCGTCAGGGATGAAGCTCTGCTCTAGATTGGATTCGTCGAATGCTTCCACGTTTATGATTCCTACAGACTGTCAACACGATTGCACCAAGAAAGTTGATGATGGCCTACCCTCAAAGACTCCTGATGACACCCAGTCTGAGTGGTCAGATTTTATCATTTCATACTCGCCACAATGGGAAGAGTCACTAGAAGGTTTAGAAGACAACGTTTGAAGCTAGAGCTGTGACCCACAAGCCACGGACTTTTGGTAACTCGTTTGGATGGTAGAGCCATTTGATCTTTGCCCATACCTTGTCAGAAGATATTTGGTCTGCATGTCGCGCGCGTATCTCTTCTATCTGACAGAACCAGTACTCATGGTCGTCCATCTGCTCGCCAACGGAACGCGTGTTTGGCACTACTAATGCGCTGAACGTGATAGCTTAGCCAAACGGAGGGAAGATGAGAGAAGAGAGCGCACATATCCCCTGCAGTAAAGTCGTATGATTTTCCATCTTCGTCTGACACTGTCCAGGAGTCAACCAATGTTGATATAACACGTCTTTTGCGACACACATTCGAAGGTTTCAAACACTTTCATGCGCCGCCATTCCTCGATTGTGGGGGCCATATCTTCGCATCCCAGCGGGATCTTCGCCCTTTTGGGTTTGGAGCCTATGGATTTTCGCCGTTTGGTTCGCATGGGTTAAGTAGAACGGAGCGAAGAGTCAGTGTGTCACGACGTGTTACCGGGTTGTTGTCCCCACGTGATCATGTCCTCCTCCTCCAACTCAACGTCTACGAAGGGGAGATGGACACACAAAAAAGCGCGTTCTTCTACCCGAGGCAAACTCGGAGAGCTGAGCGAGAAGGAATGGAACCTTCTCGAGCCATTTGATGTGTTGGATCTCAGTACGTCCATATTAAAAAGGCGTGCGCCCACAAGCTAACGCGTTACTAATAGAAGACAAGGACGGAAATCTCGAGTCATTTCATGTCTCGGATACGTAAGTAAACTGGCTATAGGCTCTTGGCCCCTCAATGCCCTCTTCCAGAATTGCGATCGTCTCGAGCAAAGACGTGTCGAAGTTGCAGCTTTATGATTATTGGATAGGAAAGATAAAGGGCATTAGAGGAGAGTCTGAATCCAGCAGAGTATGCCATCTCAAGCGCGAAATTTATTTTATTGACTGAACAAATAGGCTTGGGTCATGGTAAACTGGTATTATTCGCCTCGAGATGTTAAGGCGCAGATCCCTGTGTTGTGAGTCTTTCCCTTGATATTTTGTAGAATTAATTTCAACAACTCGCAGTGAACCTTCCCCATCCGCGAGGTATGAACGAATATATTCACACCATTGTGACATTGTCTCAGCTACACATATCGCTGGTGTGTATTTTTCCTTAAGTGGCTTCGCATTCGCAACCTTCTAATACTTCGCCATCAAGGTAAAGTCTCAGTCTTCCAGCTACTCGAAGACAACGCCGACCAACATCCAATTCCCGCCAACTCTTTCTTTTCTCGATACTATTTTGACATCAAGGGCGGCCCAAAGAACTTCGCGGTCATGCAGTTCACATACCACGACCCCGCAACGTCTATATCAACCATCCACAGCGCGATCAACATCATGCGCTGCGACCTGTGCGCGGGCCCTTACAATCCCGAAGCTTTTGATCCAGACGAAATACAGCGCTGGTGCCCCGCACCAGAATGTCGACGTGGTTTTCACCACCGTTGTCTCGATGCCGCAGATAAGAAATCGGAACCTTTTCCCTCCGTAACAGACCTAATACTGGCCAGAATAGCCAACAACGACGATACCCAGTCGACTGATGACGGTCCACCTGCCCGCTTGACGCATGAAAACCTCCACTGTATCCCAGCACAGCTTCTAACACTAGCGGCGCAGCCCCTTGTGCGTGGAGAACGATTTGGTGTCGCTGGAAATATCGCTATGATTGCCCACGCCCGTCGAACAATCCACAGTGCGCTGTCCGACCAGTCCTTGCCAACCTGCAAAACCCCGTATTCATTTCGAAGCAACCACGTCGACTTAAATTTGGATCTGTGGTACAAAGACCCTGCTTTTAATGGTTGGGAAGGTGCCATTATAGAAGAACTCGATCCTCATCGAGGAGAGGACAGAATGCGGTTATTGCGGTGTCCTCAATGTACGAGGGCAATCTAACACTTGACATTTTGTATTGCGTAGTACGTGGATTTTTCTCCAATAGTACTATTGATGAATCAGCCCAAGATGCCTGCACATCCTCTCAGCGTTGTCTGTCCACATGCAGCACACCATTGCGCAGTGCTGTTGATCGCGGCAGGCTACAATTGTGCTTGGTCAGAAATCAACGAAAAGCCGAAGTAGACTGACGCTCAGTTTTGAAACGAACTCTGATAACGGGACCTTATCCTTGCCGAAAATCTTCAGAGAGTGAAAGACATCAGCAGTGCCATTCTTGAAGCGCAGGTTGACTGTCGGCTCCGCATCACCACTGGAGCCGGGATGCAATTCAAGAGCGGCGAGGGAGTTATAGTTCTCTTTTGTAATCCGAGTCAAAGACTCATCGCACTCGCTGATATAGACACACCTATTCCCCGAACTTCTGGATTATCGACGATGGCCTCCGTTAGGTTGAACAAGCTGATGAATGGCTTGTAGCTAATTCCGTTGATAGCAAGCTTGAGTGGGTCGCTAGCATTTGCAATGCGCGAAAGGGTGGAAAAAATGGACGGAAGCATGACACGGGTACCAACTAGCTCGTTGATCAGATTTGCTTTAAACAGCTATGTGAGATTGCTTACTGTTCCCAATGCCATCTGGTCTAGGATCTGAAAAGGCGTAACCGTCATGAAAGTCGGCCAAGACACGAGCTTGGTTTACAAAACCCCGGGGAATGTGGTGGAGATAGGTCGCATTGTGCTGAGATTGCACATCAGCAAAGTCCCACATCTGGACACTTGCTCAGTGGAACCTCAGAGAGAACAGAATCATGCGAACGTTGAACTGCAATTCGACTTGTCATCATCAATTTTTGTGGTCAACTAGAACATACCATGAAATTGAAATCGATTGGCCTTCCAGCCAGGTACGGTTGGAGCTTCTGGAGGAACGCACGTGCTTCTTTTCCCTTGTTCAAGAAGAGGTCCGATTTTTCCAGAGCCGCAACGTGGGCGTCAAAGTTCTATGCAACATTCAGTGAGCAATGGTTTAAAAAACGCAGACTTCACTGGACATGATAACAGGCCATTGAGCGAGACATCTTGATTCATTTCCACGGATTCGACTGACCATAGTCTGTGAGGCGTTCAACACGAGAAATTTTTAACTCACTGGGAATATATTGAAAGCCTCCCAAGGCGCCTTCGACCGTGGTTCCGTTTGCCAATTGGATGGCGTACTTACTCGTTGGCGGATATAAACCCTGAATGACAGCGGTAACGCTCTGCTGGAAAACTGTCCCGTCGCCGGAGGAGTCGGCTCGCATAAGGAGCTGGTGAATGTCGGCCAAGACAGGCGAGATTCCATTGATGAAGGTTGGAGACGAGGGCGCGAGGTATTCACTACGCAGGTAGCTGCCAGATTGGAAAGCATTGTACGTCCCGAGCGGGGTTATAAACGTGTTGAACGTTGCATAGGTGTCGGGACTGGAGAAGCTTTCGATGCGGTCAGCGTGACGCGCAAAAACGATGGCACCAAGTATGCCGGGGTTGTGGATTGCTGCTAGGTTCACCATAATGCAAGGAGGAGGAGGAGATGAAGAAGAAGAGAAAGAACCGTCTCAGTGACGTTACACGTCTGACTCGGAAGGCGTCAACCATTGCACTTGGACGTAGCATCGAAAGCTATTAAGTTGTCGGAGGATGAGTGGTAGTAAACGCGGTCACAAGGTCCGCTCTTGATCAGCAACTGATCGTGTATTCCCACTGCCATCGAAATTTCAAAATACAGAAAAGGCATCATACTAAGTAGTATGCACAATGATGATACAATTAAGCCACCTCAACGGAGGGTGAATTCAAGATGGGACTAAGTCTTCTGCGTTTCAAGGGTGGGCCTAAGAGACTGGGTTCCGCGTCCCGGGCAGCCACAGTCGCCCTCATCACTTGGCGTTGCTGGGTAATAAAGTTCGGTAGGCCCGGGCCGCGCTTTGAAGGGCGAACTTGAACCGCCGGAAGGGCCACTGGATTCGACTGCGGCTTGCGGTCGTCCTGAGAATCGACCATAAGTTCGGGGAGCATCCGTTTTGGCCTGGCACTAATTGTCGGGTTGGCGATAGGTTTATGTGACCAACGATCTTCACATTCGGTGGCCATCACTTCCATTAACTGACGTTGCAGTACCTCAACCCTCCGTTTGAGATCGTCTCGCTCTCCTCGCATTTTTATTGCTGCATTTCGGGCGGCACGTGCGAATGAGAGTAAGCCAGAGTTAGCGGCAGCATGCACCTCCGCACGATGGCGCCATGTTTGGCAGGCCATACGTAGAGCATCTGCTTCAGCCGCGTTTCGTCGCAGAGAGGTCATCGATGAGTTGGCCTCGGGAATTTGTCGGAGAGATTGTGCAATCACTGGGGTATGGGGTAGTGAGGCGGGCGATGTCGCTGGAGAGGGACTGGAAGGGGAAGTGGGTAAAAAAGAGGAGCCAGAAGAAGACGGTTGCGAATGGGGACTCGAGTCAGTGGTTGTCTTGGGAAGCGCGAGTGACTCGGGAAGGGAGTCTGCCACCGGTTTTATCTTTGGCGAAGACACATGGTCAAAGAACACGGGGCGAATGGGTGGCAGGATATGGGGGCGAAGGTAAGGAGGAACGAGTGCTGCATCAATGGTAACTAGGGCCGATGAGTACTTTGTTGATGATACAGGGACGAGAGCATACCAACACTATAGGGTGTTCTGCAAGCTGGGCAATAGTGCTCTAAGCTGGGTGATTTGATCGCATCGACAGTAGTTCGTAAACAGTCTCGACAGAAAATATGACCTGAAGGTACTGTAATTGAGTTGTCGAACATCTCGAAGCATACCTACTTACCGCAGGGAAGAGAAACAGGAGCTGAGAAGCGTTCGTAGCAGATACTGCAGTTAGCCATGAGGGTTCAAGTGTGAACAAGAACTCGAGGCTGACGCGTTTTTATAGAAGGCGTCGAAATGGCGAGTCAACGGGACGAATCGGAGTCGAACAGGATGAGTCGGGAGCAGGCCGGCCTCTCTGTGCGAGAGAGAAGTTCGAGGTCCGAAGAGACAGACGGCGCATCGACCGTGTCCGTCGGTCCCGCCTGATCTAGACCGTCGTTCCTTTAGCGGTTTCTTGAAGTGACGAAGAAAGTGCGCCAGTGGCCATTCAGCAGAAGCCCATTATCGACTTATCGTGAGTCAAAGGCCGTTGCTGGCTCACGCTATACATACTCATTGTGAGTTGAGTCACGAAGTCAGCAAGTCCGCCATCTCTGATCGGGCTCTGAATCAATCTGATTGTGACATCCCGTGTTAAAAGCTCTCGTGACTGTTACGCTCCATTACTCTTCCTCTTCTCTTCCATAGTCACTGACGCGTTTTATAATCGAACTTGTCTATCATGCCTCCACGTCGCGCTCCTTCTAATGGTTCTGTTGCTCCTTCTCGTGCCCCCAGCCCACCAACAGGTGACGATGAAGAGGCATGATCTCCCCCAAGTTTGAAGTAACGACCACAATAAACCATACGCACACAGACCGTCTTTTTCGACAGTGTTGATGAGCTCCAACAACACGTCGGTTCACTCTCCGTCGCGTCAAAATCAATTCCATTCAATTGTCATAACAGGGAATCAACGTCCAAGACATCCTCAAGCTCAAGGCGCGTCTTTTCGCCAGTGTCCCGAGGAAAGCGTCATAATTGCACAGGCGGCCGCGATAAACACTGTCTCTGGGGTTGTCATGAGCACCCGCCGCCAGTTGTTGAAAATTAAGGTCCGTCGACGCCGGCGCCATATTGATTTTACTTTCCTACTCTAATCTTGGTTTTCAGGGCATGTCCGAAGCCAAAGTCGAAAAGGTCAAGGTAAAACTCGGCAGGACTTCCTTTTGGCTGATACGCTGACATGAAATCGTAGGACGCAGCTAACAAAATAATGGCAAATTTCGTTCCTACGGAATCGGAAGTTCTATCCTCATTCGCTTTAGGGTTCATCTTTTGCAACCGGCGTCGAAATCCAGGAGAAGCGCAAGCGTGTATTCACGGTTAGTACTGGAAGCAAGGTCGTGGATCAAATCATGGGCGGTAAGTTCATGTTCGGGTTGTCGATTCTTAGCTCATGACTTCGAGGTGGAATCACCTCGCAGTCGATTTCTGAAGGTTGTTTTTTTTTTTGGCGGGTTTTAATTATCCTCCCTCATAATTCCAGTGTATGGGGAATTCCGAACGGGAAAGACTCAACTTGCACACACCATGAGCGTTGTCGCACAGCTTCCTGCAGAAATGGGTGGTGCTTCGGGAAAGGTCGCCTATATTGATACCGAAGGCTAGTTTCCTCACCTTTTTCCTAAAACGATTCCCTGACGTCACGTAGGAACCTTTCGCCCGGATAGAATCAAAGCCATCGCGGATCGCTTCGGTGTCGACTCTACGATGGCATTAGAAAATATTTTATATGGTGCAAACCTTTTTCTCTGCCGCTTCCCTATTGACTGAAGCTCATCCACAGCCCGGGCATTCAACAGCGAACACCAAATGGAACTGATTAACGAGTGTTCGGGGCGCTTTGCAGAAGACAAGGACTTTCGATTGCTTGTGCGCTATCTTCCTATCATTGAGTTCAGCTTTCTAAACACTACACAGATTATTGACAGCATTATGGCTCTCTTTAGAACCGATTTCTCTGGTCGCGGCGAGGTATACTCGATCTTTGGCATGTGTCCAATTTGCTGACTGCTCCCAGTTGAGCGAACGGCAGCAGAAAGTCCGTTCCCTATGCTGATTTATTCATGCATATACTCACCTTTTGCCCGACAGTTGGCTCAGGTAGTCCTTGCCTTGATGTTCTAAATGCGATGTTTCAAGACCCTGTTTAGATGCTCTCCAAGCTGTCAAAACTTTCTGAAGAATACAATGTGCGTTTGCCAGAACGCTATGCCTCCCCACCCTCACTGCTGCAGATTGCTATCTTGCTCACGAACCAGGTACAATGTGAGCTTATTCAATACATTCGGTTAGCCTCCTCTTGTTAATGCGTTTTGGACAGCTGATCCCGGTGCGACAATGACTTTCGTTGCTGGCGGCGCACTGAAGGCATGGATACTTGCTGTTATCCGTTCGAATCACTTATGCGATCGTAGCCCATTGGTGGACACATCCTCTCGCATGCTTCTGCTACGCGCATTTTCCTTCGCAAAGGTTCGCGTTTGCTTCGCTGAGTGTCCTTGGGTTTTTTACTCATGAAATAATCTTGCAGGTCGTGGAGAAGAACGTGTCGCCAAGCTAGTCGACAGTCCTGACCGCCCTGAGAGCGAAGCGACGTATAAGCTGGATGAAGGCGGCTGGGCCGACGTGTAAACATTGAAGTGTGAGGGTCATTTTTCCTATTCGCTTGCTGCTTGGACTCGAACTGTAAAATTGCTGTTGTTCTCGATTGTATCGCTAATCACTGTACCCTGGCTGGGACTCTCCCTGTGTATAGGTTATCACTAGACTGTAGACTGTACTAGACGGAACCTACTCCTAACTGAACTTCAAGTTGGATAGGATCACTTTCCAGCGCTGAGCGCTCGCTTACATAACGCTTCGAGGGTTACCATCATCCAACCACCATAACTTACCATTACTGTAAGTATAAACCCACAGCATGCCAACCTCGCTCTTCCGCGTTGTTCATGGGCGAATTTCTCTGCAAAAAATGTCGCGCCGATATTGTTCCTCCCCCAATGCTGCAGCCCACCACAACCCAAAAGGCTCAAATCCGAGATGTTCTCCGTTCGACCCTCCCTGCCCCGTCGTGGATATACCCTCTACTTGAGAAAGGCACAAGAGGACTTGGGCAATATCAGTTGGAGATTGAAGATGTCCAAAAGCACCTGCAAATGCTCATCTTCCGACGAGATATGCTAGCCAACGATGTTGACCTCATCCGCAGTGTGTGCGAGTCTCCCATCCGCTACTTGCCACCGGAGATCCTTTGCGACATTTTTGAAGAAGCATGCGACCAAAACTCCCTTGACCCACCACCCGGCTCGCCTTTGGATGCTAGGGAAGATCAACGATTGATTGCTTTGGAGATGGACAGGTTGGCAAAGCGTCCTTTGCTATCAATTTCGCAAGTTGAGTGTTTTCAATGCCTGTGCGCAATATAATTGACCAAGTTAAGGTGTGTTCTACCTGGCACGAGATTGTGATGGGAACTCCGAGGCTATGGGCGACGATTGCCGCACAGATGAGGCACTGGCCGTCGAAATTTCAAGACTGTTTCGAGCTCGTCTCGAGGTGTCTGAAGAGGAGTCGTGATTACCCGCTGACAATTCGGATGTGGTATAATAAAGAGCGCGACACGGACTTTGACGAGGTGTTGAGTCTGTTGTTGCAACATGCATCTCGCTGGCGAGACGTTCACATCGCAGCGTTCTATCCTCTGAAAGACATGCTCGAGGCCGACAACATCCGATTCCCAATTTTGCAAAGTCTCCATCTGGACTCGAGCAGATACTTCGCTGCCCTCGATTGGTCATCTGCTGCTCCAGCACTCAAATCTATATCTTACCACGGCTCCATCAGATCTATTCCCCATCTACAATGGTCGCACATCCAAGTCTTCGATTTTACCCCTGCTGTAGGGAGCCGAAGAAGGTCGTGGGATCACGCTGGCTTTACTTGCCTTCCGTGGGCCCAGCTACCTCTCAATTCTTCCTTAGTAGCAAGAATCTTAGACGAAGACGTTCCCAAGAAATATCAGTCAGGCTCGCCGATACATTCGCCCATCGAAACCCTAATTCTCCGTTTATCTCCATATGAACACCAAAACGGACGTACTCTTGGGGTCATATTCCAGTCTCTCAGTCTCCCCAACTTGAAGAAGCTACAACTCCTCGGTGTTGACAAGGACATGGTATTCAGTGAATGGCTTACCTGGGACCAGCGTCATTTTATCGCATTAGCTGAGCGATCAGCGTTCGGGAATAACGTCGTTTCTCTTGCGCTCGAGGTACCAATCCGTCATGGAGAACTAGTGGACATGCTGTCGGTGCTAACGTCGTTGGAAGAGCTGTACTTGGCAGATTCGCCTCAATCTGGAGAAGATTATTCACAACAGCCCCACTTAATCACCGACCAGTTGTTTCATGCATTATTGCTTGCAAACGACGCCGGGCATACCCGCATCCCACGTCTTAACCGTCTCGAACTTTCTACAACACACTATTTCTCCGACGACACACTCCTTGACTTTGTGCGAAGTCGTGCTCTTCCCTTTGTCAATCCGACACGGTTGATCTTCAAGTTAAAGCTGCGCTCTGTGCGACCGGGCATGAGCTTACTCGATGACTTCTGGGGCCAGATTGAGGATTTGAGAGCGCAACGGATACTGGACTTCGAGTTCGAAGACTATAGTACGAGGCTACTGACCGAGGAATCAGACATGCCAATGTTGTACTCGGATTCGCCGTCGTGGTCATTGTTTGACTAGTAAACACTAACAAAGTATTATTATCCAACACACATCCGCATCCACTTTTGGCACCAGGGTTCTTCTAGCCCCCTCTTGCATAACTCTACTTTTCAAAGCCGATGAATACGAAACCGCGATTATCTATACTTGACATTAAAAATTCGCGACAGTCTTTACTTCTACGTATGTTAGTGATTCTGTGCTGAGAAATCCTCTCCAGTCGTTAGGAAACATGTAAATCCCCTTCTGTTGTTAGGAAACCTACAGTCGAATTTTTTACTCCTGCTCCACATTTGCTCTTGTCACGGTGGCGTCACGCGCCATCCTGACCCTGGCGGACCGACGATGGTAATCGACAACGACCTGGGCATCGTCTACCTCGTCGATAATGCCCAACAATTCTGGTCTGGTACGGAATTGATTACCACCTTTGAGGTCCCTAAAGCTACTCGCCAGAGTTGGAAGACATCCTAGCACTCCCCAAGGACGAGGTTCCAACTTTGGAGCGACTTGATTCGACTCTTAGACGATACTTGGCGCTCTGCTCTGCATACCACGGTTGGTGACGGCGCTACTTGTACTACTACGATGGCCTAATCCTGCTTCAGAGCAGTATTTACACAGCCCGTTGCAGTTGGAGCATGCTTGCAACCTCATTGCGGAGTCTGAGTTATTCGCCTTCCATTCGGAGCGCATGTGCGACATAATCGTCGACGGCATTCGCTCGGTGCGCCTCTCCCAGTTATGCCCTATCTGCTTTCAACTAAAACTGCATAGAATACAGACCCACACGCGCAACTCATAGCATACCACGTTCTCCTCTCCCATGGTCGTCGCCGGGCAGACTTCTTTCGCTCGCAAAGAAGATGGATATCGCTTTTCCCGCTGCTTATGGACCACGTTCTCATCGAGATCGACTCCGACCTTGAGGACGCCTATTTTAGCAGTTCGACATCGGCAGCAGGCATCGTGCCTGTCCCAATCGAAGCCAAGCTCCGTGCCTTGTCCATTCGCCTTCTCTACGAAGTATGTCGTCTCCAGAAGTTTTCTGTCCAGGATCTTCGTATGTGGCTGCTGTTTTCTCCGTTTCGCTTATTACTAATATCTGTGCAGGGACATTTGACGATGCGTTTATTGACTATATGTTTGATCTCGTGGAGCAAACACGGCATATGCACGACGAAGCATTCAACTACTCGGTTATCAACCTTATCGTCGCGCTGAACGAGCAATTCATGGTAGCATCACTGCCAAATGAGACCGCAGAGAACAGAGGAGAACCCTCAGAACCGAGGAATCGCGTGTTGCGTGTCCTGATGCGAAGACTAGGATCAAGTAAGACGTTTGGCGAGAACATGATATTCATGCTAAACCGCGCTGGTGTGTTCAACTCCAACTTGGATCAACAATACTGAATAACTTCTAGAACGGACAGCGGAAGATTTATGCATGCAGCTCCTTATCCTCAAACTACTCTACCTCCTTTTCACAACCAACGGCACATGTGACTTCTTCTATACGAATGATCTTTGCGTCCTGGTTGACGTTTTTCTTCGCGAACTGGTGGATTTAGGCGACGAAAACGAATCGGTGAGCCCTCCAGATGATGTTGTCATATGGCTTGAAAACATAACTTAGTTACGCCACACTTATCTTCGTGTCTTACACCCTCTCTTGACCAAGACACAATTAAAGGACGTTCCCTACAAACGACCGCAAATTATGCTAGCGCTCGAATCCCTCACAGGTAATTCGGGGATCCGAGATGTCAACGCAACCACCAAACGACTGGTCGAACGATGTCTAAGCGGGGACTGGTGTGTTCAGCTACGAGCAGCACGTCGGAGCACGGACCCAATGTCAGATGACGAGCGCAAGAGTGAAGGGTCGTCGGGAACGGGAGTGGGGCTGTCAAATCGTTCAGAAATGAACACACCAGCGACAGTTCAACTGGAAAGATCGGCTTCTGGGAAGGGGAGGACGTTGAAGACCAGCAAGAGCATGGAATATCTGAAAGGAAAAGTGGGAGGGAGTGCTGCTCGACGATCAAGCAATGCTAGCTCGTTGAATCTCGTAGCTGGAGCTAGTCTGGGATCCCCTACTTCGCCGTTGTCCCCAACGAGAAAGGGAAGTGCTGACACACCACGATCTGTATCGAATCCTCATTCTCGGCCTCAACATGCGAGCACTATTCTTGTCCCACCCGTTCCTGCCCTGCCCCGTAACCCCCCGCACCATGCCCAAACAATGTTGCTTCCACCGCAACAAGTTGCCGCCAGCAAAAGTGATTCAGCTTTAGAAGCACATCCGCAAATACCCCAGCGGAGAGCAGCACCTCCTCCACCCGTTACGAAACGACGGAAACCGCCGGCGGTTCCAACGACAGCCAAGATTACAACCATCAGGACTACGAGGACTACTAGTCCGCTTACCAAATCTGCATTTTGACTTTGTATTTTTACGCTTTCCTTCCCTTTACTTTTATCCTACTTTGTGGCTAGTTGGCCAGTAGTGTTTATGAATCGAAATGATCGGTTCTGTGACATCTACAACTTCTTTGACTCAGACCACTACAACGATATGTCGAGCCGAACTCTCAATGAAGTGGCTCCCACATTCGTTTCTCGACCACGCGACGAGCTCAAAGTAATTGCACGCGCAACACTGGCAGCGGTCGAACAAGGATTTTACACGGACAGCGAGTCGGCAAGACATCCATTTGTTGATCTCTCTTCAGAGGCGAACTCGACAACTTGCTACGACAAAGATTCCTTTGTGGACTGGAGAAGCGTGATCAAGCGACGGAGTGTGCCGACAGAGTGTCTAATATACCAAGCTTCTACTTTACAAGCAATACGACAAAAACACGCCGATCTTCCAACTTCGAGTCGACTGGCAATTCTGAATTTTGCCTCGGCGACTTCCCCGGGAGGCGGCTTTCTGGGCGGGGCCCGGGCGCAAGAAGAGACGCTTGCACGGTCCTCGAACCTCTACTCATCGCTGTCCAGCCCGATCGCAGCGCCGTTCTACTCTGCCCACAACACAAAATCGGATCCACGATTTTCCCATGCTATGGTGTTCACTCGAAACGTTCGATTTACACGCGATGACGCTGGCAACTGGCTACCCCCTGTCGACGTCGACGTGCTCACGAGCGCCGCAGTCAACGTCAATGCCCTGCGAAAGTCCCTCCACCTGCCAGCCGAACGTCCTCTGCCGGCAGACCAAGACACCGAAGTAGAAAGTATCATGCGGGAGCGAATGACACGGATACTGGCCGCATTTGCGCACAACGGGGCGGAAGACATCGTGCTCGGCAGCTTTGGCACCGGGGCGTTCCGCAACAGGGTCGATTTCGTAGCAAAAACATGGGCGGAGCTGCTCGCTGGTCCGTTCCAGGACGTTTTTCGATGTGTGGTGTTTGCGGTCATCGACCAAGGGAGTTGGCGGATGTTTAAAGATGTGTTTACGCAGATTGGGGTACACTTTACAGAGGAAGTAGCAGAGCCTATCTAGAAAGCAAACAAATATGTACACACAATGCCATGGAACGTAAAAAATCGAGTTCAAAGATCACTCAAACCATAGTCAAACCTCCGCACCTCCGGCATACCGATGACATCATAGTTCAAGGCTTGTCCCATCTTCCATTGCCTCATCTGCTTCCAAAACGCTTCGTCGGGTTTGAATGCGCACTCTGTATGCTCGTGCACGTAGCGCAACACTAAGTGGAAGGGAGACTCGGATGGAGAAAGATCAAGCCGACTGGGGAGAAAGTTCAGGATGGCTTCTTTGGAAAAGCACCCTCGTGCAAGAAGTTGGAGATGGTGTAGACGAGGGACGAGCAGTCCATTCTCAGAGTCTTCTCGTTGCAACCCATTGAAGAATTCATCAGTGATGGCAGGATCAACTGTGTTTGACGACCAATAGTCAATCAAGTGCAACTCCTCTAAAGCCGCGAGAAGCGATAAGGCATCCAACACCTGTGCCGTCGTTATAACCAGGTCTATTCTGAGCGACACTAGGGTGCGGCTGAATCCCGAGCGTTGAGCCAAGGCAGCGAACTGAACATCGTTCCATGCTAGGTCGGCAATGCCAATCAGCTGCAGGATACGCAAGAACGGGAGGTGGAGACTCTGAAAAATGGCAGCTAAAAGACGATCTGCATGGATAATATATGAGCCCAGGGTACAAGACAAGATCGCGATTTGGGATTGAACAAGGGCCGGCGCCTTGAAATCGGGTGCAATGCGATAGTCGCTAAACACGAGTTTCAGTGTCGAGCCAGGCTTTAGGCTTTGCCATGGAAGACGAAAGAAGCCAGCGTGATCCCATCTGAGGTCGCGACCTATATAAATCAATGATTTCAATCGATCCCATTGTACAGACGGAATGGATTCCACTGTGCCAGTGTAGGAAAGGGTCTGCAAAGCGGGCATTGAAGAAGCCAAATCTATGGCGGAACTTGAAGTACTACCAGTAGTATGTGCTTCGAGACCGAGCTCGAGACGATGCAGCATGGGGAATGGAGTGTTTTTCAACACATTATGAAGGAAGGGGAGGAGGGAGAGACGCACGTCGCGCCAGCGAGATGCATGGCCGATGAGTAGGCCGATGAGTTTATGGAGGCCCTCATCTGGTTCTCTCCTTGAGCTTATCCAAATGGCGAGTGGGAAATCAGCGCTTCGCATGAGGGATGTTGATATGAGGTCGAGGTGTCGGCGAGAATCTTGACACGGGCCACGGCTATCCGCATTAGGCCACTGGTCCATGCGAACAAGTATGGCAGCCCAGAGCGAAGGAGTTCCCATGATTATCTGGTGCCAGACAGCACATACCTATAGTTCGTCAGCTAATTGATTGCATCGGTCGCTCATTGGTTGACCTGGGACAGAACAAGTAGTGGACGTTTTGCAAGCCGATCGAGCTCAAATTGAACCGAGCTGAAATCAAAATAGTTTGGGCCTGGGTCGTAAATTGAAGGCCTTAGTCGACCGAGAATATCGACGAGGAGCTCTTGTGGCAGACGACGAATAGGAGATGTGAAAGAACTGCGGATGCGGTCAAGGTGAAGGGCTAGCTTTTCGCGCTCGGAGATGCGCTTATGCAGGTACTCGGTGATTTTTTGAATGCTATCGTCGTATTCCTTGAGCGCCTGGATACCCTCGTCAAGTGCTGTATGGATCTGAAGAGGTGCAGGCAGGTTGGTACGAAGAAGAGCAATAACTTCAGCTTCTTGTGCAGGAGTTGGAAGCGGTGGGATGTCTATGAATAATTCGTTGGAGCCGCATTTAGAACAAACTGCCTTGGCCATGATGAAAGTTGAAAGCAACCACGACACGGGCACGTGATTTGTGGCTGTGTAAAGTGACAGAATCTGCAGCGACTGCTGGAACTAAGATATCGTTGAGAGAGTAAATCAAGTCAGATATCTCGCCTTCGATCGACAGACGATATATGCTCCGGGTATGAGTTCGAGATGATGCCGCGTAGGAAATGGAAGTACATCATGAGGGAAGGGGAGCAAACTCTCGTTACCGCGCACAAATAATGGATTGTTTGCACAGTCATACCAGGAGGATTGGTGACTAGTACCGGAGTCGCGATTCGTATTAGCTGATTGTGTCCCAGAACGGGAATCCCCATGCCTCGGGCTAGGTTGGCCGTTGACCTGGTTCCACGACGCGTCGGATCTGGTGACCTCTAACTTCGAATACGGTGAATGGCATTCTTTGCGTCGTTGCATGATAATGAACCGAGTGCAAATGATCTACGATGAATCTTGAGACTTGAATGCGCAACTTGAAGTTATCTGTCAACGCACAATTCTTTTTCTGCCAATGAGCGCTCAAACCAAGTCGATGTACTAGGCGGAGCAAGACAATCGGTTAGAAGAGTCGCAGGCGGCCTGGGATGCCCGACACTTTTCGGAACACGGTATCCCTAGAAGACTGAAAAACAGGTGGAAGAGACAACTTGAAGTAAGAAAGAAGCACCAACAGACGACAATGGGTGTGACCACTGGCATCGATATCAACTTGCCAGTGATCCAAGGTCAACCGGCGCACACATTGCGCAGCGCCGAACCAACACATGTTCGCAGTACCATTCGGTCCTGCTCTGACGGACGGATGGATGCTGGTCATGGGATGGTACAGCTCCATCGTATAAAAACTCCAGTCGACAAGGCATAATCTGTTGAGTGGTTTTTCTACAATCAGAACCATGAAGTCTTTGGCCACCTTACTTGCCTTTGTCGCTGTTGCTTCCGCGGACCGCGTTGTCACGGTCTACAACGCATGCCCATTCACGATCTGGTGGGTGCCCTTCTATCCCGTGCTTTAGGTTCATTATTAACTTGTGCTTCAGGCCTGGGGTGAATATCATGCGTACCACTTTCAAGTTGATCTGACGAAGTATTCTGAGATGTTCACCGACCCCCAAAGTCCCGGTGGACCACCCAACTACGTGACAGGCTGGGAAGCAGCCAAATACACTGCCGTCACCTTCAACGTCCCCGAGTATGTTCTCGTCTTCCGGTTTGTGTATATTGAATGCTTGTCATAGGCGATGGAACGGCCGTATCTGGGGTCGCCGTAACTGCAACTTTGCCAACGGCAATACCGATCCCAATACTTCTTGCCTCGACGGCGGTTGCAATGGTGGATTGCGATGTGCCCTCAATGGCGGCACTGTGAGCCCCCTCCTCGCGTTCCCAATGACTTGCTCATCATAACCTTAGGGCGTCCCCCCGGCTACGGTCGCCGAGTTCAATCTGCATGATGCTGCTGGCCTGGATTGGTATGATGGTATATCTTCTGATGCGTCGGCTTTTCCTGTGATGGTCTAAAATTCTCCTCAGTGTCTCTTGTCGATGGCTACAACCTTCCCATGCGGATCTCCACTGATGTTGGCTGCCCCGCTCCCGACTGCCCCGTCGACCTCGGGCCAAACTGTCCCACTGAACTCAAGGTAGATGCCGCGCACTGTCAGCTGACTGCAATTTCTGACCGCACTCAAGGGTCCGTTCGACAGCGTCGGTATGCGCAAATCTTGGGTTCCAAGAATCTTTTTCTTGAAAAGCAACTTCTCTAGGTTTCCCTGTTGGATGCAAGACTGCTTGTACCGTTGACTCCCTCGCCGGACATAACGCCCACAACCCGAACTGCTGCACTAACGAGTAAGCCAGTCGATGTAATCTGCCGTTTGTTTTTACTTACGAGCATCTCAGGTATAACACTCCAGCTACCTGCCCTCCTTCCGGCGTGCGCCACTACGACTATTTCAGTGCGTCATGATTTTCCCTTTGACCGATTATCTTACCCGCATTGCAGAGAGGAACTGCCCGAACTCGTATGCTTACGCTTTCGACGAGGGCTCCGGCACCGCTCTCTGGACCTGTGCATCTAGCCGCAACGCCCACTACACGATCACTTTCTGCCCTTGAAGTCAGCTGTTGGAGCGCGCTAAATATTGATTACGAACTCTTGATGCCTTTCTTTTTATAACATACACGTCGCTTCAAAAAGATGTCTAGCAAGCCAATAAGTTGATGGAAGTCCTTGAGCGTATTGGGATGACCAACATACCTATTATCGGCGCTTCGCGTGAGGATATTGAGATAAGCTCAAGCTATCGGCGGGAAACTGCACATGCTAGCTGCCTGAATCAGGTCAGTGCGCCATCCTAACGAGTATGGCAACTCGGAACGAAGGAGTATGTGGCGCCAGGCGACAATCGTCTGTAGACGAAGAGGGAAGGGAAAAGTACTGCTAACGCGGTGAAGTTGAATGGCCGAATTGTCTCAATTTCAAATGACGGGTGGCATTTGGGATGTCCTCGGTGTATTTGTTGAGCAGCTGAACACCCTCGTCAAGCGCGATGCGGATGCATATGGGAGGTGCTGGAAGTGGGTGCGAAGAAGAGCGATAACATCAGCTTCTTGTGAGGAGTCGGAAGGATCGGGTATCAAGGAAGAAGCTGTACGATTCAGAACAAACCGTAGGAGCTATAAAAGTCCTGAGGAAAACGACGCGGGCACGTGAATTGTGGCTGTGCAAGCTCCTTCTTGAAGGAATGTGAAGCGACTATTTGAGCAACTAAGATATCGTTGAGAAGGTGGGTCGGAAAAATTGGATATCTCACGAAATATAATTATTGCACACTGTTCCTTTCTTGGACCGACAGATGAACAACCAGGCAGTGCAAAATGCTTCCGACGGCCAGGTACCGACACCATCATAGCCATGAATAAAACGATAGGAAAAATGGCCAGTAAAATCCATCTCAGCATACATCGTGTTAAACAAGCCCGTGGAATTCCGCGAATGGGTCGTCAAACGAGGACACTTCAGGGATTTCCACTAAGCCGCGGACTTGACGAGCAAGCTTTGCACCGGCAAGATGCTCGAGGAAGGCGAGGGCCATGTCGCTTCCGGCGGCAACACCGGAGCTAGTCCAGACATTCCCATCGACAACCCAACGCGCTCGCGGTTGCCAGTCGATATCGGAGGCTGTTGTGGCTGTTTCCTATCGACACGTTGAGTTGAGAAGACAGAGATGAGAGAGAGAATACAGTTATAACGCGGTAGAATGCCTTGTTAGTGGTGGCCTTCTTTCCCGACAGTACCCCAGCCAAAGCGAGTTGTAGCGCTCCACTGCACACGGACAGGATGTACTTGGCGCCTGGAGCTTGAGCACGTATAAATTCGATCTCCTCAGGCGGCGTCCGGTCTATGCCTCCATGCGGCGGCGGCCCAGCGGGAACCCAGATAATGTCGTACTGCATTCCGCTCTCTGTAACTTGGGCGTAGGTTTTAGTTGGATTCAACGTCGCCATTGAAGGACCAAACGCGGATACAACGGGGTCCATCGTTGGTGCAAGGTAGTCAAATACTACCTTGAAGGGTACGGGAGGTGAGTATCCGCTTGTCGTCGACGGACTTGTTGTCTTTCGGGATCATCTTGAGCTTGGTTTGAAGTGGGGCAATATGTATGCCTCACCGCAGCAGTCTGGAAGCCAGCCGCCAAAATTTCGATTGGCTGGACAAAGTCAGAGAGCGTCACTTCTTCACTGATGCAAACGGCGAGATGCAGCGTCGCGGTTGACATGAAAGACTTTCGGGAACAGTGGATGATTGAGGCGTCACATCAACGCGTCACGTCACCCACCCACACCCACTTTTGCCACCCATGTCCTCTGAACTCGACGAGGAGCTGCTCGAACTTGTTGACGGAGGCTCAGAGCGGCCCGTGTCGCGCAAGCGGCCGCGGGACTCTTCGGGCAAGTCATCGAACAAGAAGCGGAAGACGGCTGAGTATGCTCTTCTTGGTTGCCGCCTACGGCCAGCGAACTGACAAAGCCCAAGTTCTGATGCGGAGCCGGAGAGCGAAGACGACGACGATGCGAGAGGCAGCTCACGCCCACGCAATGCGAATACTAGCGAAGAAGGAGACAAGTATCCCCTCGAGGGCAAGTACATCGACGAGGCAGACAGGGAGGAGTCAGTATTCTCTCTCTCTCTCTCCGAGACCGCCGTTTGATTTGTCCTAGACTGCTTGGGAAGACCGAAATCGAGCGGGAACAAATCCTCGCTGCCCGACTGGACGAAGTAGAACGGATCCGTGACCGGAAGCATCTCGACAAACTCCGACAGCAACAAATTGCTGGTGTCGTGGGCACGTCAGCCGACGAGGACCGTGGCTCCGGTGCCGCAAGACGAACAGCTCGCAGTCTTCCCAAGGACCACACCAAGGACCGTTCACTAACTGCGCTGAAGGCCAAGCGGAAGGCCAAGGATGAGAAGAAGCGGGTATGTTGCACCCTGAATGACCATTGTGCTCTTCTAACACCGTAAACAGGATCCCAGCTCCCCACGGCCTCGTTCTCATTCGCCTGATGACATGGACATGTCTTCAGACGAAGAAAAAGCGGAGGCTGACAATGACACACGCCCTGAGCGACGTGAACGTGATACTCTAGACGGGCCCATGACTCTTGAAGCCCTGAAAAGGATTACCGTCAAGCGCGACGACCTGGCAAAACATTCATCGTCGCCGTTTTTCGAGCAAATTATCGTTGGTTGGTGATTACTTGTTCTCCGTCTTCTTCGCTGAAAAAATTTAGGATGTTGGGTGCGCTATTGTATTGGATCCCAGGGCAGCGAACCCGTATATCGACTGTGTCAAATCCGAAGTACTGTTCCCCTTTCTCCAATCTCATCCCAATTTTACGATTTCCACAGAGATCGTGCCGAGCCCCAAGCCATACGAAATGGAGAGGCTTGGACGAAAGGTCACGATGAACGATGCTTTCGAACTCAAACATGGCTCAGCAGAGAAGGTGTGGGCTATGAGTCAAGCCTCCAACACCGAATTTAAAGATGTGAGTTGTTTGGACGTTCAGTTTTTTCAGGTGCTGATTTTAAGATAGGAAGAATACAAGCGCTTGGTCGACACTTACGCTCACGATAAAATCAGCTTTCCAACGGTGCGAGAGGCAGCTGAGCGACATATGGAGCAACAAAAATACCTCACGAAGCTTGTGACCGAGGCATGGTTTTCTGTTTTATCTCTATGATCTCTTTTTTTTATTCTCTCCTCAGGAAGATGTCAAGAACATGATAGCTCGAAAACGTGGCAATGCGCCGACCTCGAACAGTGTGGTGCTTGAGCGTGCTCGGCTTACCGCAGCTCGAAAGCTGGCAGTCAACCGACACGACAATGCCGAGGTCGCGCAAATTGATGAGCAGTTGCGTTTGTTGAACGAGTCGAACACGAATGTTGCTGTGCGGGAGACGCAGGAAGATAAGCTGGCCAAGGTGAACGAACGGAATCGGAAGGCGAACATGGAAGCGGTTAGGAGGGCTGAGTTGGAGGCCGCAGAGAGGAAGCGGAGAGAAAGGAAGGCCGCTGCGAGCGGGACATCCACACCGACAACAAGAGCGTATGATCCGAGCGCAAGGCTGAGAACAGTACCAAGGACTTTTGAGAGCTCCACACCTGGGGGAACTCGGTGCGTTTGTTCTTCACTGATCGGATGCTGACGAAGCTGACGCAAACCCTTAGTGCTTCGACACCGAACCCCACAACTGCGAACGTGGCCAATACGTCCTCGGCTGTCGCGACGCATGGATTGGGGAAGTCGCTGAATGCGGTTGCGCAGGCGATCGAGGTCGATTTAGGCGATTTCTGAGAGTGTACCATGTAGAGCGTTCGTTTTCTGGGTCTAGATTTGCATCTTATCTTATCGGAACAAGAGCTTTATTATAACTCTTCGTCAACTCTTTGAGACCATAGTTGTAGACTAGAACCCATGTATCCTGTAGATGTGTTGTATGTATGTAGTCTTATGAATAAAAACTGTTTGGGCGTTCAACGTTAACGTACATGATTTCAGGTTGCGAGACCGAAAAGGGGTTGTGTTATATGAAGCTGACCGCCCACTTACAAACAAAGTTTACTTTGGTTTCGTGATTATAAGTTTATTAATCATGCGAATACATAGGTACCCGCACCCTTAGGCGAATCATTGGCAACTTGAAAACCGGATAGAGGAAAAAAATACTTATTGCATCAAGTCCTTATTGATAACCTTGAACACCGAGAGGCTTCAACGTTCAACACTCGATATAATGACGGCGCGTGCTGTTGCCGAGTGAACATGTTGCAATTCAAGTTGTTCAGCGTTTACACCAGGAGGTACAAGAAAGCTTCTCATGATCAGCCCGTTCCACTGGCACTGGTACTGTTTGCTCGATCTCCTGCCGTGCGCTATTGCTGATGCCCTCCTCGTTTGCTTGAGCAACTTCTCATTCAAGTTGTCGTCGTTGTGCCGTCTGAGCATCGGGTCGGTGATCTGGTCATCGGCGGTCGTCCTCGGAGAAAGGGATTCGGGTTTTGATAGGTTTTCCTTCATCCGCTGCAGTTTGTAGTTCAAGAGATGCTCTGCCATTGACTTCATGGCCGAAAGGCTCTTCCGAGTCTGTGAGCAGGTCTCGTCCTACTTGCACACTGTAAAGTGGCCCATTAATATTCAGATATGTTTCGTTTCGCAAAAGCACAGGTTTCCTGGTTATTGAAATTGAGCAGGGCACGGGGTCAGAGAAAAGATGAAGAACACACGTACTCTGTTCCACCCGCTCTAGAAACCCGAGGCCGTTCCGGACTCTGCCCACAAAGCTCTCCTAGACTTTATTACAGGACGAGCAACCGTTACTGGCTGTGTGTTGCGGACTAAGGATTCGTCAATCGCAATTTTCATGCCCAAGTTTCAACCAAATCGCAAAAGAACTCGATGAATTGCTAGTGAATAGTTCAACACAAAATAAGAGTGGCGACTCAATAATCTGAGTCTCTCGTACTGTCATCCCAGTCGCACTCAAAATATTTGCGGAGGTTGTGAATTCAAGGCCGCAAGCTTTGCTTCCATCCTGTCGCCCCATAAAAGATACTCGTACTCATCGCGCAAGCAATGGTTGATTAGGTCGGCAGGACGAATGAATCCTCGCCCGCGGTCATACAAAGTGAGCTCGGCATGGATGTCCTCTTTCGAGACACCCGAAACTTTGAGACCGGGATAAACGGGGAAAGCGCTGGGGAAGAGAGCGACACGTTGGGCAGTGAGGACGGCCGCATTGGAGTACGAGGGGTGGGCAGCAGCGTAGTCGTCATGACACTTTATCGCCTCTGCGAGGGGCGTCTCTGGTGGCTCGGATGGAGGGTGTAAGCCAGGGATAGGCATCAGGTCAAGCAAACAGGCAAGGTTCTTGAGCTCGCGGCAGCCGAAATTCAACGTCAGCGTTTCCTTGAAAAGGCCGAACGCGTCCATGCCAAGAACGACGAGTGGTAGCGTGCGTCTGCATTTGTGTTGCGTTGCGCGTGAGAAATCTACCACATAACAGCGCGCTTGGCCAGTTTCTGCCATTTCCTGCGTCATAGGCGTGTCTTCGAGGTCGAGAACGATGTGGCACATGTCCTCAGCGTTGCCCATGACACCGTCGATATTCACACCCAGATCATGCAGCGCCTCACACGTTCGCGCTATAAGCAGCCTGGTGGTTGGTAAACCATTAGAAATGGTGTAGCAGCAAACGGATACATACCTGTTAGCTTGGATGTTCAGCTCAGTTTGCATCAAAGTCCGCCATGGCGTTCCGCATCATCGGGTGAGACTGATCCATCCTCCACATTCCGTAGTTCCGTGGTGAAACTGGGTATCATCCACAAGGGCATCTATAAACCGCCTATTCCTCGTAGGATCGTGTTTTGCCACGACCACCTCCGCATGAAAGATGAACCTCAAACAGAACCGCTGTCCATCTGATGTTGTTGCTTGAGCAAATTGTACGCGTCCTTCTTCGATTAGTCCCCATCGGCACGCAGTGTCCAGCGGTATGGAAATCCTGTCGTCGCCAGTGTAGTTGTTGATAAACACGGAGTCCGACGCAATGTGAAGAGTACTTATGTGTGGTGGGTAGTAGGGGAGCAAAGGGACCGGTGACACCAGGGATGTTCCACATGCGCGCAGTGAAGGTTTTGGACCCCTCGAACTGGATTTCAATTGGCAAGGGCGACATACTTGGTTGGGAGCAGGCTGTGAGGTACATGATACCGCAAGGCTTAGGCACGAGGAAATGGGACGGTCTGTGTTCTTCGGCGGTTTAATCGGCGGGGTCGCCGATGGAACGATTTTGCAGCGAGTCTTTTTTGCGCATTATTGAGTGGCAGTTCCCCACGATTACAGGCTTAAAAAAATCCTGTAGCGTGGTCAGCAAAGGATCTGGATAGTATAAAAGGCTCAGGCTGTTGCCTTCGAATTCTTGAAAGACATGCACATCGCTAACGCCGGTCGCAAGGCTCTTGTGCAGTCTGAGGATAAAGCATATAGGCTCACTCACGTCCACACCGATGCTCCCGCTGGTGAAGTGCTCGCGAACTGCGGAGACAGGGAGGAAGGATGAAGAACGTCATAATGGCGTGACTTTAGTGTGACGAGACGTGTTGCTTGCTGACTACGGGCCATGGTCCATGCCCAAGTTCAAGTTTTATTTAAATCGTAATCTACTTCACATTGGACAAGTTACAGTCGTACGGAAGCGGATGATCCAAGTCGCGCGTGCTGTCATCGGGATTCCAACAACCTTCAAGTTGGCCCGCCTCAGTCGCTCCACTCACTCGTACCATCGTCATCAGAGTCACTGTCAGTGGATTCGGGCCACTCCGTTGGGGGTTGTGCATTCAATGCAGCAGGCTTCACTTCCAACTTGTCTCCCCATAAAAGATACTCGTAGTCTTCACGCGAGAAAGACTTGAGGAATCTAGCAGGATTGATAAAACCCTGACCCCTATCGTATAACGTGAGCTCCGCATCCAAGTTTTCTTTCGTTGGACCGGAAACCTCGAGGCCGGGGTAGAGTGGCAGGGAGCTGGGGAAGAGTGCGGCACGTTGCGCAATGAGGACGACCGAATTAGGGTACGAGGGATGTGCCGCAGAATAATCAGCGTGCCATTTCATTGCTTCCTCGATTGGTGTTTCCGGTGGATCAGTTTTATACGGCGGAGCGGGCATCAACCTGAGCAGGAACGCAATATTCTCCAGCTCGTCGCAACACATTCTGTGCTTCAACGACACTACGAGGAGGTCAAACGCGTCGTTGCCGAGAGAGACGAGCGGCAGAACACGTTTGCATTTATGTCGCTTTGCGTATGCGAAGTCAACAATGAAACAGCGCGCCTGGCCGGATGCTGCCATCTCGGACGTGAGGGAGGGGTCTTCGACGTCAAGGAGGACATGCGTGAAGTCTCCGCTATTTCCCATATGACATTTGCCATTGATCTTGATGCCGAGGTCGTGGAACATCTCGAAGGTCCTTGCCACAAGTTGTCTGGTATATTGGTAAAGACGAGGGTCAAAGTGAAGCAATAGGTCAATCAATTACCGGTTAGCCTTCGTATCGAGTTTGGTCCCAATTAGAGTCTTCCAGGGAATCCCGCACCACTCTGTGAGGCTGAATAGCACTTTCCCCGCCCAGTCGCCCGTGTCCATAACCCACATGCCGTAGTTCTGTGGCACCAGTACCCCCGCCACCATTCGAAGATTCTCGAGATAGAACTTGGTGTCGTCGATGAGCGCACGTATGAATCGGTGATTTCGTGTCGGGTCCCCTTTGCGCGCCACCCGGTCCGCGTGGAAAATGAACCTTAGGCAGAACAGCTGGCCGTTTGGTGCTCTCGCACGCGCGAAGATGAGGCGCGAATCTTCAACAAATCCCCATCTTTTTGCCTCGTCAAGCCTGACTACTGTCTTGTTGTAGCCCGTGTAATGGTTGATGAACACGGAGTTTGACGCAATGGTGAGATCATGCTCGACGGTTTGCAAGGCTGTAAAGGGGCCATCAACACCAGGTATTTTCCACATTCGCGCGGAGAACGTTTGGGAGCCCTCAAAGCGAAGTTCGATCGGCAAGCGCGACATGGTTGGTTGAGAAAAGAAGTCGTCACGATGACTTGATTGTGACGATTGTTGACAACAAGACGATGGCCTCTTTCGAGTTTCCGAGTCTAATCGAAAGCGTGGTGAAGCAGGTAGCTCAATACCTAGACGAACAACCAGATCTCCTCTTATCACTCCTCGATGCCTCACCAAGCCTTCGCATACCCATTTTTGCAGACTATGTTATGAAGAGACAATCGGACAGCGGCGACGACGACATACAATCGGACAGTGGCGACGACGACATACAATCGGACAGTGGCGGAGACGACAACCCAGATTACGAATTTGACATATCTCGCAATTTCAATCCGTCAGGATCTTCGACTCCAGCCAACAAAAGAAACCAACGCGTTGCATTTCCTGGCTCATCGCGATCGCCCACAGGTGGTCCTCGATTCGAATCTACACCCTCTCGACAAGGAAACTCAGACCTGCCCCAGTCATCCGACTCGGACTCAGACTCCCCTGCAAACTCGCTCAATGTAGAGCGTGGTTCGCTTACTCGAAGCTTTAACTGGGAGGGCACCAGTATCAGTGCATCAAATGACCATCTCTCCAATGTCCCTCACGATGCCTCCTACCTCTTCAATACAACAATGCCAGATGTAGAGGTAACTGACACGACTCTGCATAAATTTTTGTGTCAACCGCACACAATGATCTCCCAACTTAAACCCCCTGAAATGCCACATGCACGAAACTCTCAGCGACCCCCCCGCCATGCCGAGACCAAAGTAACACCACTTAATGAAATCTGCCTCGACACAGACTTTGCCTTCTATGTGATACTCTTTGCTTTACTGGAGGCACATGGAAATGCATTCATTCAACATCGCCTTACTGCTGAAGAATTGCAACGGATGGAGGCTGGGCCAAAAGTCTTGAATTGCTGGCCGTTTGTGTTTCGAGAGGCAGATTACCAAACACGAAGTTTCGTCGGCGAGTCCAACATGGCCTGTGAGGCGAACAACATATTAGATGGAAAGGGCATTAGCGACAAAACTCGCATGTTTATGCATGCTGGTGTAACAGCCACAGTCGATGATCACGCAGTTATCTCTGATGGAGAAATAACCGATGTCTCGATTCAAGAAATGAAAACTCAGGACGCTCTAGATTTCTTGCAAACAACGAAACTCACCGGGATTGACTATAAGCAACTCGAGGGTTACAAGCGTCATGGAGAGGCCATTGTTCTAGAGTATCATCCGCCAACACAACTTCCGATCAAAAAATCCAAAAAGAAATCCTCACGAAATGTTCACGACAACAATGAGTTCTTGTCCTCCGATACAATCAATGTAAACAACGAGCATCTGGTGCAGGCCTGGACCCAGATGGAGGCCAAAAATATCAACTTCGGACATGCCTCGAGCCACGCATACGGATACGTGGCGTTTCGCGACCCTGAAAACAATCCCAATCGGCTCTACATTTCGCCAGCCCTGCCAAACTTCGGCGACACTGTCTCCGACGCAGAAAGCGTGCGTACTCAGTTAGACGATAATGATTTGGCTATTCCGTCTCAAGAACTCGTCGCTAAAGGTTTGGAATTGCTCGGCACCAAACCCGGTGAAGACTTCTATGATGAATATCGTGAAGCCCTGTCTTTGGGGCCTCAAATCGGCGTATATGTCATGGCGCACATGTATTATATTGCCAAGGACCCCGAGAGAGCCAAAAAATGGCGCAAGTGGTATCATGAGAAAGTATCTGGCAGGACAAAACACGTCTACTTCAAATCTCGGAAAGAATGCTACGACACCCAATTCACCAAACCCAGCGATGCGTTCCAGAGAGCAAGAAGCACTGCAAGTGGCACAGTTGGCGTTATGCTCTATAGCCTGAAGGCTCCACGTCCAAAGAGGATTCCCCCGCCGAAGAAGGGAGACCCGGATTTAAGAGAACCACCCAATTACAAAGACCGTAGTCAATCGTTTAGCCTAAGCGACCTTCAAGTTTGGGCTTAACAGGATCAATAGGTGAGTATATACCATACTCCGTTGTGTCGTCAATCAACTGATAAGCCTGCTGATCACACGTACCGGCGCAGGACCCCTGATAATGGGTGGGGGACCCATATATGGCGTTGGCCGTTTTTCTCCGGACGCTCCGCGGCCGGTTCTTCTCCGGATACCACATGTGGCTTGGCTTTGGACCCAATTTTTCTCCGGACGCTTAATATGGCATATCCGGGCCGAAATTTGCCGAAAACCCGGTTTAAAATCAAATTTTCGCCCAATACCGCATAGTTGCGCCCAAATGCCAAGTCGAGGCCAAAATTTGGTCGGCAACTAAGCCGCGCTCGGGTGGTTTTGACACCTATTCTGAGCCGGTTTTGGGTCCATTCATATCCGGATCCCCAATTTTGCTCCGCCTGCGGCGGGCAGTCTTCTCCGGACCGCGTAACGTGGGCAGGCCGGCCAGATGAGGTGCTTTTTCTCCGGATGATATAAGGGTTCCCCACCTATTATCAGGGGTCCTACCGGCGCTCAAGTACTGTTGGGTTGAATGCATGGCTAAATTTGTACACGAACTTTTAGCACTCATCATGATAAACTCTTCACGCTGCGCACTACTCTATATGTATGCCATTTAGTATTGACACGGTGGTTCCTGAATGTAAAGGTCATTTCGTGCATTCCAAACAGCTGCGTATCCGAGTCCGCAAGGTTGGAAAAACTTCAATCACACATGAATGACCACCTGGCTAAACGACAAGCTTGGAGAACTCGCAGTCGCTGAGCCTGCAATGTACATTGAACCAGGTCATGCAATGAAACATGTTGGAGTTTCCATAAATGCAATGCCGGGGTGTGTTGAAGCTGTTACAATTATCGGGAATTTACACGAGGATAAGATATGCCAATGGTTCTCATCGTGCTCCGCCGCGGCCTCCAGCTCCTCTGTCGGGAACTTTGCAAACACATCCTTCAGTTTATCCACCGGGCCCATCATAAACCCAATCAGCGTCTCGAACGGCGGTTTATTCGGAATTCCTGGACAGGCGCTTGCAGAAAGTATCAACGACCCAAAGTAAAACAAGCAAATGCAACAACTCACCGCGTCGGGACAAACTTCTTGGTCCGCATACAATCCGTTGATGCCCTCCTCGCGGTAGTGGAGCTTGGGGTCGAGCAGCGGCAGGTCCTTCGTCTCCTCATCGTTGTCATGATGTCTGAGGCTGACCATCATCGGGCCAATTACTTGGTCCTATGCATATGCAGTTGTCCTCGCCGGCCCGGGTATGTTTTCAGGGAAGGATGAAAAACAACATAAAAAAGACAGACAAACGCACTTGATGCTCTGCGCGGTCATGGCCTGCTAACCGGTTTTCCGCGTCGCCAAAAAGCTCTTTCCTAGGCAGGTGAACGCCGCGACTGCGTGTCGGGCAATCTCCCACGTGAGCTGCCGTGCCCAGTGTGCTTGAGCGTCAAGGTCGCTGGCGGATTTTCGGTAGTTCTTGTAGTACTCGATAGAACAGCGCGCCTGGCCGGATACTCGGGTGTTACATACGTGGGGTTCGTCGAAGTCGAGGAGTACATGCGTGAAATCGTCGTCGTTTCATACGATATTTTGCAGTTAATGTTGATACCGAGGTCATGGAAAATCTCAAAGGTTCTTTCCACAAGTTGTCTGGTAAACTGGTAAGTACGAGAGTCAAAGTGAAGCAATCAATTACCGGTTAGCCTTCGTATCGAGTTTGATCCCAATTACAGTCTTCCAGGGAATTCCGCACTACTCCGTGAGGCCGAACAGCACTTTCCCCGCCCAATCACCCGTGTCCATAACCCACATGCCGTAGTTCTGTGGTACCAGCACCCCCGCCACCATTCGAAGATTCTCGAGATAAAACTTGGCGTCGTCAATGAGCGCACGTATGAATCGCTGATTCCGCGTCGGGTCCCCTTTGCGCGCCACCAGGTCTGCATGGAAAATGAACCTTAGGCAGAACAGCTGGCCGTTTGATGCTCTCGCACGCGCGAAGATGAGGCGCGAATCTTCAATAAATCCCCATCTTTGCGCCTCGTCAAGCCTGACCGCTGTCCTGTTGTAGCCCGTGTAATGGTTGATGAACACGGAGTTTGACGAAATGGTGAAATCATGCTCAGCGGCTTGCAAGGCTGTAAAGGGGCCATCGACACCAGGTATTTTCCACATTCGCGCGGAGAACGTTCGGGAGCCCTCAAAGCGAAGTTCGATTGGCAAGCGCGACATACATGCATATGGTTGAGAACAACTTGAAGCTGTGATGTGACGGTTTCGCTTGCACAAGACGGAGGGCCTCTTCCCAGTTTATTGACAAGCTCACCGGGCGAACAATATTGCAGCATTTGAGTCCAGTGGCCATTCAGTCGCTCGAGTCTGCCCCCAAAACAAGCATAGACGAACATTCACAGTTAGTTGTTAGTTAAGATTTTCATATCTTATCCGTACGAGAGTCTTCGTCAACTGCTTGAGGGAGAGTTATATTTGCTGTAGTTCGTCGATGGAATCTTTTTGCTTTCGTGAGCGTTCGACATGATTCCAGTGACTTCGGTGACGTCGATTGAAAAAGGCAATGGTTGCACTGATCTCCGTCCACCACCACGATGTTTGGCTGCTGCGTCGCCGGGCGGCTTCTCCAGACGAATCTGCAGCAAATCGACGAGACACACGCGATGTTTGAGCTGCCTGCTGCGAGCTCGATAAACCACGTCTGCGTGTTCCTTCTGGGCACAGGTGTGTGTTGACTTGGATTGGCGCGTTGTTGGCGCTGACGCGTACCCTGGAGGGATATAGTGCCCTTCCCGGAAGGATATGGATGCACTGTGCACTTTTTTTGGCCGGGAAAGGGGTTCCAGTTGCTGGGCATGTGAGTGGACCTCTTGTCTTGCTGCTCAACGCTAACTTGTCATCAGGCTATCTAACGAAAAGCCGTCCGCGATATTCCGACTAAAGGGGACGTACTCGCCACAACGAGGCTCAAGCGCAGCGCATTCGGCGTTCTCCGCGTCGTCTCAACAGCAGATGTCGATGCAGGAGGACGTGACGGCGGTGCTGGGTCTCGCGATTGAACCACTGGGTGACATTGCGGCACAGATTGCTGCGCTGCACTCGACAGCGGAAGCCACATCGACAACGCTGGTGGCGGCGTCCCCGTTGCTGGACCCGGCGCGGCTAGCAGAGCGCGTTGTGAAGCATCTCTTCAACTACATTTCTGGATTTACGGGTGGGAGTGTCGGGGGAGATGTCAGTGTGCCCATGGGCCTGATTGTCAAATGGTATGAGAGTTTTGTGGGGAAACTCAGGAATGGCGGGGCCGGGTTTCTGGAGCGGGTGGAAGAATGTGCGTGTCCAATTTTTTTAGCCTCTATTATTTACTGACTACATTGCTGCAGAAACCTGTTTCCTGTACTTGTACGCAAAACTATTTTCGGATATTACATGATGCACCAAAAGGCGATCTCATCATCGAATTGTCAGTATACTCAGCTCTTCAACTATGTTTTCAGATTGGCGAGCGAGAGCGTCGGCAAAGTATGTCCATCGGCATCGTCAAGTGGTACGAGAGTTTTGTGAGTAAAGTCAGGAATTGCGGGTCGCGTTTCTCAGGCTGGAAGAGTGTGTGTGTCGATTCTTTTTTATCTCGAAGGGTTTACTGACTATCTCACTGCAAAAGTCGGAAACCCCGTAAACTATTTTCGGATATTACGATGATGCACCAAGAACGATCGACTCCAAGGGTGGCTAATGAGGTCATCGAATGGTCAGTATATATGGGCTCTTGGTGCAGTATAAGTACGAAGACATGCTCCGTCTCTTGAGACTCCACACACCAACGAGAACAACAACCATGGTTGCACGAAAGATCCAAACTTTGACGCATGCGATACGAGAGGACCACCAGGAGGTGTGTAAACAAATCTGATGATTTTGTATCATCTGAACAAGATACTGTACCCAGATGTACGAGTACTACGAAAACTACCAAAAATCCGCAGGCGACCTCGACGCTCAAGCACGCTGGGCACGGCAGCTCACGTGGGAGATTGCCCGGCACGCAGTCGCGGAGGAGATTGTCGTCTACCCGCTTATGGAGGAGCTGCTTGGCGACGAGGGAAAACGGTTGGCAGACCATGACCGCGCAGAGCACCAGGTGCGTTTTTCCTTCTTCTATCGTTATTTTTCCTAAAATCTATCAGCGGGTAAAAGAAAGTCTGTCCAAACTCGAATCGCTGACGCCGGGGACAACTGCATACGACCAAGTCATTGACCCGATGATGGTCGGCCTCAGACATCACAACAACGACGAGGAGACGAAGGACCTGCCGCTGCTCGAGCCCAAGCTCGACTACCGCGAGGAGGGCATCAGCAAGAATGCGGCGACGGATTTCATGCGCACTAAGAAGTTCGTCCCGACACGGTCAGTGTTGCGCGAATTTCTAGCGTCTTGGCTGATACCTTTGTGCAAGGGGTCATCCGGGAATTCCGAATAAACCGCCGTTCGAGACATTGGTTGGGTTTATGATGGCCCCGGTGGATAAATTGAAGGATGCATTTGCAAAGTTCCCGACGGAGGAGATGGAGGCTGCGGCGGAGCGCGATGAAAAGCATTGATATATTCCACTTGTGCGATCTTCTGTACAGCTCTCAATAACTCAAGCAACTATACCCACATTGAAAGCACAAGAACAGTCGATGGTTCGGTGATTCCTTTTGTTTTCAAAATGTCCTGTCAGGTCAGAAATAACTTTGCTCCGAATAAGTACAGTACAATGATACCTTGAACGGGCTTGCTATCGAGTTAGTCTGAGTTAGTCCTACATAATCATTACATATGATAGTGCGACGCGACTGCTTTATTGAGCGTGAGCTTGAGGCCTCACAAGTCACATGACGGCTACCGCTTGTGTTGGACTCCCAAACCGATGTCCCTCTCGCCAATCCAACTTTGCTTCGAGGGCTCTCAAACTTTTTCTGCGCGGATGCAGGGCATTCGTGGTGTCAATGGCCCTTTTGCGCCCCTGCCAACCGCCGAACATGTTCTTACCATTGCAACAAACTCTGTGTTTATCAACAACTACACGGTCGACAATAGGACAGTGGTGAAGCTTGACGAGGCGAAACAATGGGGACTCGTGGAGGATTCGCGGCTCGTATTTGCGCGCGCAAGGGCGTCAAATGGTCAGCGGTTCTGCCTAAGGTTTATCTTCCATGCGGACCGCGTGGCGCGCAAGGGGGATCCAACGGGGAATATGCGGTTCATTCAGGCGCTCATCGATGACACCAAGTTCTACGTGAAGAATCTTCGGATGGTGGCGGGGGTGCTGGTGCCACAAAACTACGGGATGTGGGTGATGGAAACGGGCGACTGGGCGGGGAAAGTGCTGTTCAGCCTCACGGAGTGGTGCGGGACTCCCTGGAAGACTTTAATGGGGACCAAACTCGATACTAAAGCGAACCGGTGCTCCTGCGGCTGCTTGACTCTGGCATCATGTTTATTCAATCCACAGACAACTCATCGCACGAACTTTCGAGATGTTCCACGACCTTGGCGTCAAAATTAATGGCAAATGCAAAATGGGGAACATCACTGGCTTCACACATGTCCTCCTTGACCTCGACGACCCCAACCTCACACACGAAATGGCAGCATCCGGCCAGGCTCGCTGTTTTATCGTTGACTTCGCACGTGCAAAGCGACACAAATGCCGGCGCACATTGCCTCTCGTTCCCCTCGGCAACGACGCGTTTGTTCTTCTCGTATCCTCGTTGAAGCTCGACATTCGTTGCCGCGAGCTGGAAAGCATTGCTTTTCTACTCCGCTTAATGCCCGCTCCGCCATATAAAACCGATTCCCCAGAAACACCCATCGAAGAGGCAATAAAGTGGCATGCCGATTATTCAGCTGCACACCCGTCGTATCCAAACTCTGTCATCCTCATCGCGCAACGTGCCGCACTCTTCCCCAGGTCCTTCCCGGTCTACCCCGGGCTCAAGGTTTCTGGCCCGTCGAAGGAAAACGTCCATGCTGAGCTCACCCTCTACGATCGCGGACAGGGTTTCATCAATCCTGCCAGATTCCTCAGGTCTTGCTCAAGCGAAGAATACGAGTATTTTCTGTTCGGCGACCAGTTGGAGGTGAAGCCTGCTGCATTGGATGCACAACTTCCGCAAAGGTGGCCTGAACCCACTGACAATGACTCGGATGATGATACTAGTGAGTGGAGCGAGTGAGTTCAATTTCGAACTTGAAGTCGGATTTGGGCAAAGGCTACTGGATTTCTCCATGACAGCACGAGCGACCAAGATTTTCAAGTTGCTGTTCCGCTTCCGTGTTACTGTAACTTGTCCAATGTCAAGTAGATTACAATTTAGAATTTGAACTTGGATATTCATATAATCCTTAGTCAGCAACACGTCTCGTCACACAAGTCACGGTTACGCCATTATGACGCTCTTCCTCCTTCCTCCATGTCTACGCAGTTTGCGAGCATGTCCCGAGCAGGAGCGTCGGTGGGGACATAAATTGAACCATATGCCTCATTCTCAAACTGTACGAGAGCTTTGTGACCTGCGTTAGCGATGTGCATGTCTTTGAAAAAGGTCGCACTGGCCTTTTATACGATTCAGATCTTTTGCTGACCGCGCTACAGGACTGCAGCAAGCCTGTCTTTGTGCAAAGACTACTCGATGATGGACAAAAAAGCGACCAGCTGCGAAATCGTTGCATCGGCGACCTGGCCGGTGACTAAACCACCGAAGAACACCGACCGTCCCATCTCCTCATGTCTAAGCCTTGCGGTATTGTACATGTGTACGTCACAGCTTGTTCTCAACCAAGTATGTCGCTCTTGCCAATCGAAATCCGGTTTGAGGGGTCCCAAACCTTTACTGCGCGGATGTGGGACATCCCTGGTGTCAAACTGGGCCATTTGCGCCGTTGCAACCCACCGCAAGGATTCTCGACATTGCGGCAAATTCAATGTTTATCAACAACTACGCGGGCGACAGGAGAGTATCGATACCGCTGGACAACGCGCGCCGGTGGGGACTGGTCGAAGATCAACGCGTGCAAATTGCGCAAGCGACAACATCAGACGAACAGCGGTTCTGCTTGAGGTTCATTTTCAATGCAGAGAAAGTGGCGCCGAAACACGACCCAACTAGGAATAGACGGTTCATACAGGCTCTCATTAACGATACTGCATTCCATGTCAAACACCTCCAGACGGTGGAGGGGCTGTTGGTCCCAAGGAACTACGGGATGTGGAAGATGCACACGGGCAACTGGGCGGGTACTGTGCTTTTCAGTCTTACTCAATGGTGCGGAACGCCATGGCAATCGTTAGTGGGAACTAGGCTAGATACTCGGGCGAATAGGTGCGAGTCTGTGCCTCGAAATTGGCCACAGTATTTACCCACCGACTAGGCTCCTCATTGCGCGTACGTGTGAGGCGCTGCACGACTTGGGCGTGAAGATCAATGGTGTCATGGGCAACGCCGTAGACTTGTGCCACATTATCCTCGACCTCGATGACCCAAACTTGACTGAGGAGATGGCAGAAGCAGGCCAAGCGCGCTGTTATGTCGTGGATTTCTCTCGGGCAACGCAGCACAAATGTAAACGCTCTCTACCACTTGTCCCCCTTGGCAACGGCGCATTCAAGCTTCTTATGCAGACACTTGAATTAAACTTTGGTTGCCGTGAGCTCAAGAACCTGGCCTATCTGCTCGAGCTCATGCCCATCGCTGGCCTGCAATATGCATTTGAGCCGCCAGAAACGCCTATCAAAGAGGCGATAAAGTGGCATGACGACTACTTTGCTGCCCATCCTTCATACTCCAACGCGGCCGTCCTTGTTGCTCAACGTGTCACCCTTTTTCCCAACGCCCTCCCTGTCTATCCCAGTCTCGAAGTCTCGGGTGTCTCGAAAGAGAACGTTCACGAAGAGATCACATTATTCGATCGTGGACGAGGATTCATTCATCCTGCCGACCTGATCAAGCATTGCTCGCGCGATGAATATGAGTATCTTTTGTGGGGTGACAAGATGGAAGCGAAGCCTGTGGCGTTGAATAGTGAATACCCTCGACAAAGGTTGTCGGAATCGTCTGACGGGATCATAAGTGACCCGGATTACTAAGTTACTGTTGTGTTCATTTGCACATTGCTCAATATATAATTGCTTGGCCTGTTACAGACACGAATCCATGCTCTAGTAGCGTCGACCAAATTACGACGAAAATACATTGCGCAAAAGCAAAACAGCTCAATAGTCTGAGTCGCTCCGACTGCTAGTACTGTCTGAGTCACTATCATCGTCAGCTGATTCTAACAACTCTCTCGGAGGTTGTGCATTTAGGGCAACAGGCTTCACTTCCATCTTGTCTCCCCATAAATGATACTCATAGTCTTCACGCGAAAAACATTTGAGGAATCTAGTAGGATTGATAAAACCCTGACTCCGATCGTATAACGTGAGCTTGACATCTACATTCTCTTTCGATGGACCAGAAACCTCGAGCCCAGGGTAGAGTGGCAGGGAGCTGGGGAAGAGCGCGGCACGTTGCGCAATGAGGACGACCGAATTAGGGTACGAGGGGTGTGCCGCAGAATAATCAGCGTGCCATTTTATTGCTTCCTCGATTGGTGTTTCTGGTGGATCAGTTTTATATGGGCGAGCGGGCATCAACCCCAGTAGGAACGCGGCGTTCTCCAGCTCACGGCAACACATATTGAGCCTCAACGAGGATACGAGGAGATTGAATGCGTCGTTGCCGAGAGAGACGAGTGGCAGAGTGCGCCTGCATTTGTGTCGCTTTGCGTGTGCAAAGTCAGCAATGAAGCAGCGCGCCTGGCCGGATGCTGCCATTTCGGACGTTGGGTGGGGGTCGTCTATGTCGAGGAGGATATGCGTGAAATCTTCATCACTTCCCAGATGACGTTTGCCGTTGATCTTGACGCCGAGGTCGTGGAACATTTCCAAAGTCCTTGCCACGAGCTGTCTGGGGAACCGGTAAATACGCAGATCAAGGTGAAGCAACAGGCCAAGTACCGATTAGCCCTCGTATCGAGTTTGGTTCCAATGAGAGTCTTCCAGGGAATGCCGCACCATTCCGTGAGGCTGAATAGCACTTTCCCCGCCCAGTCGCCCGTGTCCATAACCCACATGCCGTAGTTCTGTGGCACAAGTACCCCCGCCACCGTTTGAAGATTTTCGAGATAAAACTTGGCGTCGTCAATGAGCGCACGTATGAATCGCTGATTCCGCGTCGGGTCCCCTTTGCGCGCCACCCGGTCCGCATGGAAAATGAACCTTAGGCAGAACAGTTGGCCATTTGACGCTCTTGCGCGCGCAAAGACGAGGCGCGAATCCTCCACAAGTCCCCATCTTTTCGCCTCGTCCAGCTTCATTACTGTCCTGTGGTAGCCCGCATAGTTGTTGATGAACACGGAGTTCGGCGCAATGGTGAAAGCATGTTCAGTGGTGTGCAAGGCTGTAAAGGGGCCATCGACGCCAGGTATTCTCCACATTCGCGCGGAGAATGTTGACGTTTGGGAGCCCTCGAAGCGAAGCTCGATCGGCGAGCGCGACATGGGTGGTTGGGACTTATCACAGTAGTGCGTCAGTGTTGTTTCCGGCAGTCAGACCGTGCTTTTGGTCTGAGAGACCAAAATAATGGTCAGCGAGTCGGCCCAATGACAGCGACACGTTTCGTCACATCACGCCCTCATGTTCCCTCTCCCATGTCCCACACACCAATCGAAGTGCAGTTCGAGAGCCCGCCCTCCGGATCTGTGCACAGCTCCGACCCGCCTTTCCGGGTGTTCAGCGCAAGGATGTGGAGAATCCCTGGCGTCAGGGGTCCCTTTTCGCCGCTGCCGCCCGCCGCTCACACACTCAGCATTGCGTCAGACTCCATCTTCATCAACAGCTATTCGGGCAACAACAGAATATCTATACCGCTTGCGGACGCGCGTCGGTGGGGCTTGAGGGAGGACAAACGCGTGCAGTTTGCGCGGGCGACCGCACCGAATGGCCAGCGCTTCTGTTTGAGGTTTATCTTCCATGCGGACACGGTGATGCAGGAAGGCGACCCGACATGGAACCAGCGGTTTATACAAGCCCTCGTCGACGATGCCAAGTTCCATATCAAGCATTTGCAGACAGTGGCGGGGCTGCTAGTGCCACAGAACTATGGGATGTGGGTAATGGAGACGGGTGATTGGGCGGGCACTGTGTTGTTCAGTCTTACTCAGTGGTGTGGGACACCGTGGAAGTCTTTGTTGAGAACTGAACTGAATACTAAGGCTAACAAGTACGTGTGCGTGTCCTGGATCATTGGACTTGAAACTAACTCCCAACCAACAGCTTGCTCATCGGCCGCGTCTGTGAGATGCTGCACGACTTGGGTGTGAAGATTACTGGCCGCATGGGCAGCTCCGAAGACTTGTGCCATATTATCCTCGACGTCGAAGATCCCGCCGTGACAAAAGAGATGGCCAAGAACGGCGAAGCGCGCTGTTACATTGTCGACTTTTCTCATGCAAGGCGACACAATTGTAAACGCAGACTCCCCCTTGTCCCGCTCGGCAGAGACGCGTTCCGGCTTCTTATGCAGACCCCGACCTTCTCTTTCGGCTGTCCCGAGCTCGAGAATATTGCACATCTTCTTGATTTCACACCCCGGGGCCTACAATATCCATCTGAGCCGCCGGAAACGCCCATCGGAGAAGCGATGAAGTGGCGTGACGATTACCTTGCCGCCCACCCCTCGTACTCCAATGCGGCCGTCCTCGTCGCCCAGCGTGTCGCGCTCTTCCCCAATGCCCTCCCCGTTTACCCCGGTCTTAAAGTCTCAGGTGTGTCGAAAGAAGACATGAGTGCGGAACTCACATTATATGATTGTGGACGCGGATATATCGATCCTGCCAGCTTGATCAAAGGCTGCTCACGCGACGAGTACGAGTATCTTCTGTGGGGCAACAAGATGGAAGCAAAAGCTATTGCTATGGATGCACAACCCCTACCAAAGTGGCCAGAATCCGCACCATCCGGTCATGACTCTGCCGACACTAGTTAGCCATTGTTTTGATATCGACTTTTCTCATGTCAAGTAGGTAGCTGGGCTATGAATCATGACTTGTTTGCGTCCGTCAGCAGAGAACCCCCACGCCGAGTTGGTTCAAGTACTTAAGTACGCTGGCCTTATAATTAGTCAGCAACGCGTCCCGTCACACTTGGTAACGCCGCGGCGGACACGCCATGCTCATGTTGCTTGCGCCGATTGCAGTGCCAGTGTACTTCGAAGGCCTTCGGCACGCGCATACCGCGGATCCCACCACGGCCCCTTTGCGCCGGACACGATTTTCGTGACCAATCGCGCGGACGACGAAGCGGTCGAAGTTCCATGTCGGGCCTCTGGACTGCGGGCGGCGGTGGCGGGGGGTGCTGGCGCAGCAGAGCCACGGGATGCGGAGGATGGACAGTGACACGGGGGGCTGCTATCGGGGCTAGGCCGGCACGGTGCTGTTCAGCGGAAGCATCACCCAATGGGGCGGGACACCGGCGTGGAAGTGTTTATTGAACACAAGGTTCAATGCCCTCTACTAGGAGGTGCAGGTGCTCTGAACTTGGACAATATTTAAATGACTGTTGATGTGTGCATGCGCGACGAGTAAGTACTTACTTACTTATGTGTATCTTCTGTGGGGTACTTACGGGGACGGAGGCGCGCGCTGCACAGCTTACTAGTACCACTAACTGGACAATATTTTTTACAGAGGCGGTGCCAGTCACGGTGGCGAAGTTCTCGGTATCAGTAACTCTCATTAATTGTACAACGCGTTCAAGTTCTAGCTGCATCTACCAGCAACATGAGTACCTAGCTGAGATCAACACCGGGTAAACTCCGACGCGATACACAGCTCCGTCATCAGCTCGTCTGGATACCGCCGCGAAAAGCCCTCCTTCTCAAACACCTCCCAAAATCCCCAGGGGCGACAGTAGGAATTCGACGCCTCTGCCTGGGTGTACTCCCAATACTCGGGGTACCAGCCAGCCATTTCCCAGTCGACGATCGCAGCGATCTTCTTGTCCTTTATGATAATGTTGCGCGGGGCGAGGTCGCAGTGCGTGAACACGGTGCGGTACGACTCCGTCCTTCCAACACAACGTAAAACGGCGTCGGCGTATTGCGGGTACTCGTCGAGTTTTCGCTCGACCATGAAGTCGCGGCCCACGAAGGTGCAGAACTCGGCGACGGACGCGAACGGCCCGAAAACTGGACGGTAAATACGGAAGTCCTTGCATGGCCCGCCGTCGACTGCTTCGACCGAACCCGGGTGTGGAGGCACAAGTGCCCGTAGCTGGTCGATGTACCCGCGCAATTCGTGCACAATATTCAAGCGTTCTTCCTCCGAGAGTTGGCCCCAGATTTGCTCCAGCTCTTGGCCCTCGATGTAGTCCATCACCATACACAGCTTGCCGTGCTTATCCTTTATCATGCGGTGCACGCGCGGGACCGGAATCGTGGTGTGCTGCGCGACGTAGTCCAAGTTCAGCGCCTCCGTGAGCAGCATCTGCGCCGGCCGCTTGACCGCCCGGCCGCGGCTGATCCGGGTGACGGTCTCGCGCCCGCCGAGAGCCCAGCGGCCGAACTTGCAACGTGCAGCCAGATATATGTTGACGAGCCTGCCCGACTCGATGGGGCGCTGGGACGGGACCATCGGCACATTGGGTTGGGCGTTCAGAACAGGCAGGTCACAGAGTGCCATGCCGTGGCTGTGCTACCTCATGGCTCATCATTCCCGGGCTCCGGCCAGGGGTCACACGGGCCCACAAACCGCCCCAACACCCGCCATGTTCAGCCAGAACAAGCCGCGGCTCTACATCGTGTACTACCGGCGGGGGACCCCGGGGACGTACCACGTCGCGCTCGTGCACGCGCCGAAGCGGCCCGCCGCCTGGGACCCCGCCCCCGACCCCGACCCCGAACACAAAAGCGTGGGCGACTGTGTGCAGTACCACATCACGAACCTGCCATCCCCCGACGAGCCCACCGGCGAGCGCTGGCGCTACGAGACGCCCGCCGTGTTCCTGCGCACCGAGCGCGTCGTCGCGGCCCTCCTCCTCGGCAAGCCCGCCGACCGTGGCCGTGCAGCGCTTGCCGCGAGTCTGCGGGGCGTTCCCGTCGTCCAGGGGGATCGCAATTTCCGCTGCAAGAACTGGGTGTGGCTCGCGATTGACGTGCGTCTGGCCCCTCAGCACACATACTAGTATCGAAGAATGCTTGACTTGTTCTTACCAGAAACTCGTGGCGGACGGGATACTCGGGCCCTTGCCGGGCAGCGGGCAGCAGCTGTTCCAGGTCGGCTTGGACTTGGCCAACAGCGTCGTCCAGGCGTCCTCGTGGGACAAGCCGCTCCCCATGTGCGACGTGGACGGGAACCGCATCCAGTAATGCCGGGCTACATATGTCTATTGACCCCAGTAGTATTTTGCCTAGTTTAAGTGTTTTGACATGTCACTTGCTACAGTAACTACTGCACCAAACCGTGCCGCGCCAAACAAACAAGCTGTTATGAACCACTGCTCTGAAGTTTCTGGTCTTCTCATGAGTTGTGTATCAGCACTGGCAAGAACTCGCACACTTGCCATAAAAACTGGTGGGACCAATAAGAAGGGCGTCAAGTATCGAGAATCTACACGCGCAGGGACAAGGAGAACACTCCATCTCCTCTGCGACGTTGAGATGGTCCACCCACGCCTAGCACCGGACAAAGTGCGACACGATGCACTGCTCCGTCATCAGCTCGTCCGGATACCGCCGCGAAAACCCCTCCCTCTCAAACATCTCCCAAAATCCCCGCGGGCAAAGGAGGTTTGAAGCCCTCGCCTGTGTGTACTCCCAATATTCGGGGTACCAGCCCGCCATCTCCCAGTCCACAATCGCGGCAATCTTCTTATCCTTGATCATAATATTGCGTGGAGCGATGTCGCAGTGCGTGAAAACGGTCCGGTACGACTCCGTGCGCGCCACGCAGCGCAGAACGGCGTCGGCGTACTGCGGGTACTGATCCATTTCGATCAATTCAGCGGGCCTGTGACCCGTGACCGTTTGGCCGAAATGTCCAATTCGGCCGCAGGCCGAATTTCGCGTGACCTATTACCCGATTAGGAAGTTCGGCGCGCCGCAGGCGCCAAAAATCTGAAAACTTTCCCAATTGGGACAGTTTGGGACCAAAATATTTAGGGCCTGCTCGGTGTCACCGGGATCGATCCCGTAGCCAATCTGGCAACGGGCTCGGCTAGCCCTAGCCAGTCTCGGTATGGTATCCATGCCATCAACAGGCATGACAACGGGGCCGGAGGTTGGCAGAGATGCGTCAAATAAGATTAGTCATGTATTTAAGGTAGATCAAAAGACATATCTCGTCCTCCCTCCTCGTTTCGACGCGTTTTTTGACTGGGAATCGGCGCCATGCCCTCCGGCCCTTCCCGTGACGCGTCCAGAGCCTTCCGTGACGCGTCCAATGCCTCGCAACAGGCTATACTTGCCCAACAGAGAGCACAAAAGAAGAAAGCACTAGCACAGCGTCAACGGCACATTGCGCTGGTGTCGCTTGTGTGTATGGTTGCAGCATTCACTGTCTCTTTTGGCATGAATCTCACTGATCCCATCCCTCTCAACACCTCTGCTCTTACTGGTCAGGTCTGGGTGGATGAGCTCCTTGTTGGCAGTGATATCCGGTTCTATCGCCAGCTAGGGATGGCCAAGCACGTCTTCCTTCGACTATTATTCGAACTCCAAATGCATTCCGGGCTAACCAATTGAAGCATGTCACGGCCACGGAGAAGCTTGCAACATTCCTTTACTTCGCCCGGATCGGCTGCAGCTCACGTGTCCTCCAGGAGCGTTTTCAAAGGAGTGGGGAAACTATCAGCAAATCCATCCATACCATCCTTAACTGCTTGACTGGGTCTTTCTACACAAAGCATATCCATCTGCCACCAAATAACACTCCACCAGAAGTCAAAGCGACACGGAAATTCTACCCATACTTCCGTGAATGCCGTGGCGCAATCGACGGCTCGCACTTCTCTGCCTGGGTACCTGCTACCGCAATGCCACGGTATCGTAATCGCAAGGGGTTTATCGGGCAGAATATTCTGGCAGCCTGCAATTTTGCTCTGATTTTTGTCTATGTGCTTACAGGCTGGGAAGGGAGTGCATCAGACTCGCACATCTTCAATTATGCGCGAGCATGATTTTGCTGTTCCACTGGGCAAGTTCTACCTTGCAGATGCTGGGTTTCCGCTCTGCGACGTTTTGATGACCCCATACCGGAATATCCGATACCACCTCAAGGAATGGGGCAATGTCAACCAGCGCCCTCGGAACTACAAGGAGCTATTCAATCTACGTCATGCTCAGCTTCGGAACGCAGTCGAGCGGATATTTGGTATTCTCAAACGTCGCTGGAATATCTTTACGGGTGGTGCTCCAGAGTACTCGGTCGAGACACAGGCTCAACTAATCTCAGCCATCTGTGCACTTCATAATTTTATTCGGGTCTACGATGGTGAAGATGATGGTTTGGAGCCCAACGACACCAATGAAACCCCAAGTATCTCATCCATCACCACCCCGACACGGCGAGAAAGCTCCTTGCAAGATCTTATCGCTAATCCAGCAGAGCCTATTTCAGCTGAGGAGCTAGGGTGGTCAATCAGCCCAGAGGAACGTGCTCGAGCATCAGCCCGGCGTGACGCGATTGCGCAGAATATGTGGGCAGATTACAAGGCATATATGCTTACAAAAGGTATCCAAATTCAAGAGGTCGCTCCCGAGGAATAGATAGTGCTATATTGACAACACAAGTACTCTACGGTGCGAACAATGTACTCTCAATAAGGCCTTGGACAAATTTAGTACGTAGGGCCTTTGTTTTCGGTGCAATGTACAGCTGCGCAGCCTTTGAATTGTTCATGAACAGCTTCATTGCCTCGACACTCTCATTATCCGACAACTCGTCATCCTCCTCCATCACCTGCACAGCCCTAGCCAAGATCTCGGGGCTCCCCTTCACCTTCAGAGCTCCTGCAATCTCGAGCATGGCAGAAGCCATGCTATTTGTGGCATCAGCATTGCGCGCTCGCGACTTTCGGCCAGGCTTCTGCGGTGATGACGAAGCTGCTCGCTTGCGGCTTGATGCTGGCTCGGTAAATGGAGAGGATGGGGTGGCGTCGTTGTAGGCAGGCATGCGAATAGGCGGCGCGGGTGTATGTGGAACTGTTTGGGAGGGGGAGGATGGTGTGCCGGGCGCAGATGGGTTGTTTGAACCTGCATCGGTGCCTGTACTGGTGCTAGGGATGACGGGGTCATTTGTCGATGGAGTTGGGGTGGTGCCTGCATGAAACGCGCCTTCGCCGGTGGCTACGATGCCATCGACAAGGAACATGATGTCGTCGTAGAGGGGGAATGGTTTTTTTTGCCATTTTGTGGCCCAGGCATTTTTCTAGAAAGGAATTAGCGTACACACAAGGCTGAAGAAACAGCCACGCACCTTATTCACGATATAATCCGTCCACACATCATCCGTCGCCGTAACAGTCTTGAGACCATCGTCCCACCCGAATCCCGACGCGCCGCGCAGCTTTCGAGCTTCGTTGAACAGTGCCTTGAGCCCCCCGTAGTGGTCTTGGCACTTGGCGGCTGTCTTGGTGGCGCCAGGAGATGCGGCGAGGGCCGCTGCGCAGATTGGCCACACCTGTGGTTTCCAGCCGCTGTCTGTCTGAAAGGCAGCCTTGTTCGTGCGGAGGGTATTGATGAGTGTCGCGTCATCGGTGTCCCGCCACGAGCAGCGCTCCTTCCGCTGCTTGGTCGAAGGCTCAGTCATGGAGGTAAGAAGAAAAGAGGGGAGGATTGGCCTTGATCCCGCGCTCAGCGTGACGAGACAGATGGCTGGCAACGTACCTCCGAACGCCCATCTGGCTACGGAATCACAGGCATCTGCGTGTGTTGCCATCTGGGTTGATTGTGAGTGTGTCCGGGATCAATCCCGGTGACACCGAGCAGGCCCTTAGCTGTGACCTGTGACCCGCCGAAATATTTCGGCCAAAAAATCCGATGTGACCGTGACCCGCCTAATTGAATGAAATAGGTCAGTACTCGTCAAGTTTTCGTTTGACCATGAAGCTGCGGCCCAGGAAGGTGCAGAACTCGGCGACGGACGGGAACGGCCCAAACACCGGGGTGCGGATGCGGAAGTCCTTGCACGGCCCGCCGTCGACCGCTTCAATGGCCCCCAGGTGCGGCGGCACGAGCGCACGCAGCTGGTCGATGTACCCCCGCAATTCGTGGACAATATCCAAGTGTGACGCTGTCGCGAAGAGCCTTCTGAAGAAGAGAGGAAAGTCGATGGTTATCGATAGAGGGGGGTCGGATGGCCATTGGCCTCCAATGGCCACCCAACTGTCGACCCGTGACCTACGGCAGGAGGGGAGCAGTTGAGCGTACTCGGGCAGTCGGGACGAGTCCGCGAGAAGATGAAGGAACGAGAAAGACTGAGGAAAAGTAGATGGTTAAGTTGCTGCTACGTGACACTGGTCACGCTTTGCGTTACAAGATCTGTGACTACTGATGATACTGCTAATCTGATAGATGTGATACTGCTGATGCGTGATTCTGAGTCGTATAGTTGGTAAGTCCGCTACTGACGCGTCACAGAGCCCCCCACGATGAAGAGTCGCGCTACTCTGGTATCTCTCCTGGCTCCAGGACAGAGGCCGCCCAAGGGGAAGACGCTGCGATTTCCCTTATCGTAGTGGTGTTGGGGTTCATCATCGCTGCAACATTCGGCTCAGCGAGCGCCTCATTGCATTCCGTTATTACCGCCGGGGCCCATGCGTGAGGAGCCAACGGTACTTGGACTCCGTTGACGAGAATGTGGCCGCCCGAGGCGAACGAGGCAGTCAATTGCTGCGGTTCCTCGGCTAGGAGACTTGAAGCGACAGCTGCGGGGGGATCCATTTCCATAGGCTCTGGTTCTTGATCCCGGGACACGGCATCCGCATCCCTTGACATGGAGGACTCGTCATTCTCTTGAGGAGGATTGTTAAGGTAGATGACGTAGGGACCCAAAGCGAAGGCGGTGACCTGGGCGGACTGCGTGGCGGCATCTTCCGCTAGAGCACTTGTAGTGGCAGAGGATCCTTGCGCCTCCGCAGCTGGTGCCGTATTCATTGTTATGTCGTGGTTGCCCAGCGCGAATGGCCCTAGACGATCTCCCCTACCCAGACGTATCTCCCTCTCGACGCGGCGCCTCTCGTCCCTCCGAAGCTTTCCCGGGTTTCGCTTGGCCCTGGGCCTGATCCTCTCTGTCAACGTAACCCCCATCCTCTGCGACAGAGTGTGAGATGGGGTCGCGGCCGTGGACTCGCCAGGGACCCCAGTATGCG